TTTCACGTCTACTCGCCGTTCCTGTATCTCCGATTGTTAGGTCATGTTTGCCTTGTCCCCCCATGCACTTCAGGCCCCTTTCGCAACCAGGATACCACTGCTTCCGAGACGGGCCTATATCATCTCAAAAACATGTAATCTGCTTATACACACTCTGTTGTCATCTTTGAGCGGATCTTTTAACACTCTGCAGCTGGGACGACTGGGTTCCCGAAGACCGCCTGCGCAAGCTAACCTCCGAGAACCGGGAGTTGGCTAACAACTTGAGACACGAGATGCTGGCCGCTCAACGCGCCGCAAGAGCTCAGCCCGCGCCCGCTAAGAAGAAGGCGCAGGGCTCAGTGCGTGGCAGTGAAGAACGACAAAGCTCTGTCACTGCTGCACCTCGTGGTCAAAAAAGGGTTCGCGACAACGACCTCGAAAAGGTATGAAGGCTCGGCGAAGCCAAGCGGCTTCTTTGCCTCGAGACGACCGGCTAACTGAACCCCAGGAAGAGACATTCCAGAACAAGCTGGCTGTCAGGATTTACATGCCCGACAGGCTGAAAAGTCTCTTGGTTGATGACTGGGAAAACATCACCAAAAACCTGCAACTGGTGCAGCTGCCTTCAGCGCATCCAGCGGGTGTGATCCTTGATGAGTATCAGAAATATGCCATTCAAACTGGAGCTCGCAGCAGCACCGAGCGCGACATTCTTGAAGAGGTGATTGCAGGTCTGAAAGAGTACTTCAACAAGAGTGTTGGGCGTCTCCTGTTGTACCGCTTTGAGCGTGAGCAGTTTTACGACATCTGGACGCGCATTCAACAGCCAACTGATGAGCTTGCCGGAAAGACGCTCGCCGAGATTTACGGTGGCGAGCACCTTTTGCGCCTTCTGGGTAAGTCGTCTCGAGACCATGAATGATGTGATTATTAACCATGTGTCTTAGTTACAATGCCAGAGCTTATTGCTCAAACCAACATGGATCACCAGGCAGTTACTCGCTTGCGCGAAGAACTCAGCCAGATGACAACGTGGCTGTCCAAGGATGCCCAGATCAATACGTTCTTTGTGCCCACTTATGAGAGCCCAGGACAAGCCTACATTGACAAGGTCAAGTCGAGTACGTAGGAGGATGCCTGATTCGACCGCAAGAGACCAAGGGCCTCTAATCTGTTTTCCTGTTGAGTCACTCTGACGCAAATGTACTATGATCTGCTGCATGGACGTGGATACTGTTTGGTTGGCGCACTGGCGTTGTAGTTGGAAAGGTCTGGGGCGAGATTATTCGGGTGATACCGATATCTTCTCTTTACACGGATTCTAGCATATTAATATACGTTTCAACGAAGATTTTGCTTTTCGGTGTGTCTCATTACGTCTTAAGATTTCTTGATTACATCCTCCAAGATCCCCACAGCCCAGCTCAGGCATTTGGCCATGTTCTCCTCAGCTTCCTTGGGCATGCCATGAATGTCAGTCTCTGTGCAGACTTTTCTGTCTAGCTGGCCGTTAACATCGCCGTTTTCAAACAAGAAACTGTGGTCATGAACATAGTTGGGCCACACAATCTTGTCGACATAGCCTGGAGGGTCTTGCCAGAAGCCTTCGAGCGTCACGTATCCACTCCTGGCCTCGCGCCTTCGCTTTGCAGTCTCGTAGCTGGTGCGGAGAAAAAGACGGACGTCAAACGTGGAGCGTATGTCTTTCATGTCTTGGGAAAAGAGTAGGAAGCCATCCACAATGCATATCCGCTTTTCGCACCACTCTGGCTTGCCCTCAAGTAAACCGACAACTCGCTCGCGCAATGCCTGGATCTCAGATTCAGGCACGCCATGCTCACCAACGCTGTTCTGATCTTCTTGGCTGACTAGCCAGTCTGGACTCTTGCCCTGGTCTTTGATGTGGTTCAGGGCTTGCTTGAGCGCAGGTAGATTGAGTGACTCGATGCAGTCCCAATCTTGGATTCCATTCTTGACGGGGATTTCAGCATCCGTCAGGTAAAAGTCGTCGAGATGCAGGATGAAGAGTTTAGAGGGAGGGAATACATCGCGCAGTAGGCGGGACAGCGTTGTCTTGCCGGAAGATGAGGGGCCCGATATGCCGACAAGGAGGGGCGAGGACATGGTGATGGTGGTGGTGGGGGTTTGTCTATATCCACGACAGTTCCTGATGGCAATGCGTTTGTTAGAGCAAATGAGGCACCGGTACAGGTACTCTGCGTATACTAGCGCCCTATATGCGAGGCGCTTCTATTCGTATCTGGGGTAGAGCAGCCTTGACATGCAATCTGATCTCACACGTGCGAAATGGTGGGGCCATCGATCATCGACGGCCCGCTAATTAGGTCCCCGTGTCCCAAGCCTGTACGACGCGACACCAGCACTTATACATACGTACGCACATATATGCTACAATTGTGCCTGCTCGGCAGAAACAATTCACGCCAGCAGCCATGGAGCCATCGCCGCTGACCCAAGTCTCGCGGCCCCAGATCTTCCAGCCCAAGATCATTCACCTCTACGAAACCCTATTCAAGGTGCGCTGGTGTCGAATGCGCCTCAACACCACGCCGCTGACCCACAACAGCAAACAGATGATGAGCCTATGGAACCCTCGGAGGGATTCTGGCGGGAGTTCTTCCTACACAAGCCAGAACCAGCGGGCCTCAAGCGTGTCCTGGCTTCGATGGCGCCCGACGAGATGCTGCACCAGCAAGCCCATTCGCAGCAACTCTTTAGCCAGGCCATGTTACGCATAAAGCAGGCCAAAGCCCCGGCCGACGACATCGCCCTCGAGGTACGCCTACGACATGCGCATTCACAGGCCGCACGCGCTTACCGCTTAGACCTTGACAGTCTTCCTCGACGCCGCCCTTGCTAAGAAGTACACCAACCCAAGCTCCGACATCATCTCTGTCCTCGCTGGTCTCAACGATGCCGATGCCGTCATGACCGATTTTGTCGCTACACTGGACACTGCCATACGCAATGGACGAGACAGTAGGTTGTCTCACTGTTAGCTGCAACAGGAAGCTGACCACGAGTAGTATCGCTGCGCCAAAAGGCGATTCGATGCGCTCTCGCCATGACTGCTGCGGGCTTCCAGACAGCACTCCCCTCCTACTTCACTCATCGAGACCTCTTCCCTGCACTCGTCAAGTATACACACGACTGTGACAACAGCACCGACATTCTGCCTGCCCTATACCTTCTCGGTCTACTCGCAAACTACAACAAGTTCGAGTTCCAGAATCCATACAGACTGCGACTGGAGGATTTCGTGAACGATGCCATTATTCAAGACATGATAGCATGTCTAGGCGCTACTTGCACAAAACTGCGTGACGCCTACGTGGCCGTTCAGGATGACATGCCCGAGGGCTGGACGCTTGGTTCGACGTTGAGCTACATTGGCTTGGGCGCGCTCGCCCCAAACTCTCGACCTGCATCACCTGTGCCCCCACCCCCGGACGAGGTAAAATCCCTCTTTGCTGGAATGTAAGCATAATGACTGTAATATACCCAACAACTGCTGATAATCATCTAGGCCAGGGCCAGAGGCCGGCGTGCTCCTCTCTACCTTTGACTTTGCCAACGCCAACAAGGTCTTCTGTTATAACCTAGTTACCTTTGGGTTGGGCAACAAGAACCAATCGTCGCCTTTTAGCGAGTTTCTCTCCGTGACTTCGTACATGTTCCAGCATGCACACCGGTCTACCAGAGCCGCTCTGTACACGTATCTAAATCTGTTCGTCCTGCAAATACTTGTCGAGGACCCGGCGCTCTGCAAGCGCTTGTGCAGTGATGAGACGAAGCTCTCGGTGCGTTTGTGTCGCCAACGACAGCCGTTTCTTCCAATCGTGAGAGGTGAGCGGGTTCCCGCAGCCATCATCCTGGACATGATGTCCGATGGCATCAGTCACAACCTGCGGAGACGGTTGGATGTAGACTTTTACATGTAAGTCCTTTGCTGCTGCCACACTTTCTTGGCTAACATATGAAGACTGTGCCTCGGTGTTTTGTTGCGGCTGCTCTCGTACCTCAGTCGCACAAAAGCCCGCATCACGTATCATTGGTCAGAGCTTTGGAGAACACTACTATCGTTTGTCCGGTTCCTCACCACGTACGAGAGCGACATCAAATCAAACTACAAGTCGAATGGCATGATCAATCTCTTGGTCAATCTGTTGGCTTTTGCCCTCTCCAGTGGAGAAAACTTCCTTCCCGACTCTGCGGCATACGACGATCTCTTCTACAAACTAGTTGAGAGTGGCGACGTTCTCATCAAATTTAGAGATGCCTTTGGCCTATCTGGTCAATCTGACTCGATGCAGACACTTGTGAATGTCTCATCTCACTATCATTCACTGCTTGAAGAGAAGGGCAAATCACGCAGCAAACACCTAAGCCCACAAGAAGTGCAGGCCGTAATCAAGCAGGGATATGAGACTCTGTCTATTGATGCTAGCGAAGGCTTGGATCGATGGGAAGCTTTCCGTGAAGCGGACTACAAGTCGCTTCTGAAAAAGATTGCAAGGGCCGCCGTGGAAGATGCCAAGACGCTGAACAGCGATAGCTGAGGCCAGTATTCAATGATATCCATTACAACATGATTCGAACCAACGGGGTCTACATGATACCATCTGTATTACTTATCAGTAGCACAAATGCAAAACACCAGTAGCGAACATTCATCGAAGAGCGTGTGATTGCATTCTTTGGTATCAGGGTCCTCCTGTTGAGCGGAATTACTTGCATGACTGCGTTCTAGCTGCGTCTGTTAGCTGTGTTATTTGGTACACCCAAAGACAAGACCTCGAGTACATGTCAGCACTACAGCCTCGAACCTGGTTGTCGGTATCAATCAGGGATCGCCGGACTTATACATTGCCCTCGATTTCTCGTAGCCAGTGTGAATTGTTGTATTATCTCATTTCAAGTCCAAGTTTGTGAATCTTGTTAATGTCCTGAGACGCCTTTCTTCTTCACTCAAGTCATAGACTCGCTGTCCGCAAGCAATGACTTCTGTGCCGCCTCCCATGACTGATACTACGGCATGGCCAAGAGAAAAGGTATGTGAGTTTCTCTGTATGTGGAAGTTGTGTTGACAATACTACTAGAATGTACTTGCCGCCGGTTATCCACAGGTTGCACCGCCGGCACACCTAAAAGTAGCAGGTGATGCCACAGTTGACTCTGCAGACATGAGCACTCCTCCTTGGGATGGCAATTATGTCACGCATCCAGCGATGGCCAATCCGCCTGTTCATTACGCCGGGAAGTTGGTGACACCCGCAGGCTATCACCTCGGGCCCCACGGTGAAGGCTGGAATTCTCCTCGTTCGTCTTTGTCAAGGTATCGGCACGAGTACTCGACGCTCTCTCCGGCTAGGCGCGAGAACCCAAAGATGATGGGATTTGTGACGAGTCTTGCTGTGCCGGCTCCAAAGACGAGGCCGGATTACGATGTTGTGGCTGAGTATCAAGGACTCAAGCTGGGTCGTATTAGTGACGCCGTTCCTTACTGTACGTATCCTTTTTTGGCTGAATTGTTTGGAAGAATGTTGCTGCTAACAGATCTTCTTCGTCTAATCCAGTACTCGGGCCTCGCAGCATAATGGACAGAATTCAAGTCGTACTCGAGCACTCGCAGGAACACCCGCAGGAGCACCGAAAGCCATCTTCCTCCCACTACACAACCTCATCCCAAGACACTCCGCAGCCAGTCTACACTCCACGAGACAAAGCACTCATGGCAATCCTAACCTCGCTCAACACTTCCGAAAGCCTACGTCTGGAAAAAGGAGACTGGTACCCTCAAGGCCTCGCCGCCCGCCACGACGCCCTCGTCCTATACGAAAACACCAGCAGCAACGGCATCCGCCTCGCATACGTCTCGCTCACCGACTTCATTCAACAAGCGCAAACATGGCTCCTCGCCCCCAACCCCACCAACAAATCCGGTGACGCACCCCACGCCAAAAACCCCTGGGCCCCCATCGCCGCCCAGCTCCGCTCCAAAGGCGTCGACGTCTCCAAATTAGACCTACAAACCTACCTCGACCTCACCCAGCACTTCTCCGCCTCGGATCTCCCCGCTAAACTCGACGAGATAGCCCAATGGGCCCACGACGGCACTCTCGAAGCGCGCTACGAGAAATTCATCACGGAAAAAGAAGCTACTGCCGCCGCTCAAGCTAGAAACAGGGGCTTTCGACCTCTGCTACGGACTTCTGGTGCCAACGATGCCACGAACAAGGTCTTTGGTGGCCACGAAGCTCTATACTCCAAGCGCTTCACGCACGAGCATCCCATGGGTAAAGCGGCGTCAGTCAAGGCGAAGCGGCAGCGGCGCAGTGGGCGGTCGAGGGAGGAGGTAGAGAAGACTGTTTTGGCTAATGCGGAGCGGATTCGGAAGATGGAGAAGGGCAAGGTGAGTGCGGGTGATGCGGGGGTGTTGGCTGTGGATGAGACGGAGAAGAAGAGGAGAAGGAAGAGGCATCGGGCGTTTTTTGTGACGTTTATGGTTATGGTGTTTGGAGGGGCGGTCGGGGCGATGTTGTGGGCTATGGGGACTAGACGGTGGGATTTTACGGCTGGGGGGCAGACGCAGTGAGTGAGTGGATTGCGCGGTTCTTACTCTTTCGTTGTGGATGAGATGAGATGAGGAGGAATAGTGGTTCTTGGTTTGGATGATACCTTTGATTTCTCATGATTGTGAAAAGGTAGTTTTGGATCAACAATCGGTTTTTCCCGCCTAAAAACAGCTCCTATAACTCACGTACGTATGCCAAGTTATCAAGCGCACTTCCTTCCTCCCACTAAAAAAGGTTACTAGTACTTCAACACTAGTACCATCCAACGGAAGTACCCGCACTCCCAAAAATAAACACCTTTAATCTCACCTTTTCTTCAATCTCCACCCCTAGAAACCCCCCAAAATCCACATCTACTTGGCTCCTATTTACACACATCTTACCCAATCACACACCTCTCTCTTCCCGTGCCTAGAACCCCCCCCCTCAATCTCTTAATCTCCTAATCTAATCTCCCCCTCTCCCCTTCTTTCATTCGCCGCCCTTGCACTAGACTCCCGTCTAGTCTCCCCCACCCCACCCCTTCCACCAAACAAACCTCCCTCGTCTTCCCTCTCTCTGCCGATCTGCTCATTGAACTCGAATAGTTCCCACCTTTAATCTCCCATTCCACATCTACCCAACCATACAACCAGCTACTTTTACTTCTCTACCTGCAATTTCCCCTCTGCCCCCCCAAAATCTTAATAAAACCTTTAAAATACCCGTTTGTTTGCACTGAAATAAGGATCGACGACAGGGGGATAGAAACTAGTTTTCTTAGAAGATATATTTTGATTTTTTGTTGAGGTGATCTGGTGGCTTGAGCGCTGTTGTGGTTGCAAGAAGGGGTTAAAAAAAAGCTAGGGTGTCGGGGTGGTTGGGGCGGCCACGTGGGAAAGAAGGGGGGGGCAAGCTAGAGTGGTAAGTAGAGTTTTTTCTTTGGTGGACGGGTGGTCTGGGCTTTTTGGTGGTTTGGTCTGGTTGGTGAAAGGATAAGGAGGGATAAGGCAAGGTGGAGATGGAAGGCGTATCGATTAGATTGTAACTACGCAAAAAGTGCAAGTCTCATTTCTGATCTTCTTAGTTTGCTTCTACGTTAATTCTCTAGCTATGCTGGGCATACAAACCTTTCTCATCTGCAACACTCCGCTTTTTCAGCTTCTGAAAGGACAATTCGGAACTATGCATCCTCCCCTTTCGAATATCGAACTCAAATCTAAATGACAAAAAAAAATCAAATGAAAATCAAACTCCTTCCCCCCCCCAGCCATCCATCCATCCATCCAAACCATCCCAAATCTTCAACCACCCCTGCCTCAACCCGCACAGACACACGTTCGCATTTCCCTCGTCACGGTCCGACTTCCTCAACAGCCCATCCCCGTATCACCACCCCCCTCCCCGAAACGGGCGCTCCAACGTTTCATCTCACCACGCAACAACAACAAAAAAAAAGATTTGCAAAAAAAAAAACGTTGAAACCGTATTTCCCTTGTTTGGCTTCCCAATTCCTTCCTAGTAGGGGTCATCCGGACCCTTTCTCCCCCCCTCCCCCCCTCCTTCCAGTCCAGGGAGGCAAGAAACCGGGGGGAGGGGAGGAGGCGCGAGCAAAAAAAAACCCCGACAAGGGGGGTGAGGTGTGATGATGATGATGATGATGATGATGGTGTTTCACATGTCTTACTCTTGTTGCGTATGTTAGACAAAAATTTCGTTTCTGGGGAACGAAAATGGGGTTTGATAAGGATGGGCAGATTGCAGAGGCCGACGCGGCTAGTGGGGCTAGGGCTTATTCTGTATGTGTGTTCTTTTGCTACCCTATTCCAACTATGCTGCTATTACAGATTTGGTGCTATTTTCCCCTTTAGAGGTGGGTGCAAGTTTGGTTCGGCGGTGCAGTGGGCGGGTGGGAAAGTGGCGGGAATTGCGTAAGTTGCAGTAGTTTTTAGTGTGCATTCGGGAGGATTAGATTTGATGGTTGAGGATTGCATTTCCCGTAAGCTATAGTAGATACGCATACGTAGTGTGTCTTGCGTGTCCCACTCTTTACTCTTGATCTGAAGCATTTTGTATGGTTGGTTAAGTTTCCAAATTTGACTCGATAGGCTCGGATCTTTCCATTAGTGTCGTGTTGCGAAATGGAAAGGAAAATCCTGGGTAGGGGTAGGAGGCGGGGGCAGCCATAAGCATGTGATGATGTCATTGTACATTGCGCGTGCGAGATTTAGAGTTTCTAGTCGAGGTCTCCGAAGTTTTGCCTTTTGATGTGCAACGCTCTCTCCACACATGCGCGTATGCGTCAGCAATGACAAAGTAGTAAGAGGCGCATAATATTCTCTTGGCCAAGCCGGAGAAAACATGCAGAATAATATAGTAGATGTTTCCGTTTCCGATGCCCGGATCTCAGGATACGAACAGCGACGTGTCAAATGGGCGCACGTTCTTACGCGGTAGGTAAGGATCAACAAACCCGGTGTTCGCTCGAGCGCGCACGCGCTGCGTAGGACGCCCCCACTTTTTTGCGTGTGTGCAATCGATCACAACCGGATTCGGCGATATAGCACCCATGTGCGCGTGCTTCAATCAGATGGTCGCGTCACGGACAAATATGTTCCAAGATGCAGAATCCATGTTCAATATGTGATATTGTAATGTAGCATGTGTGTGAGATCCATCCATCCAGATTCTACTCTACGTGATAGAGAGAAAGGAGATACAAAGGAAAATGGCGTATTAGAAAAATATCTATGTAATAGTGTATATATATATGTAATAGTGGGAAAAAAATGCAATGCTAGTGGATTGAATCCCCCCTGGGGACCAATATATGCAGGTGGTATCTTGGGAAAAAGCAACAACAATAACAACAACAAAAGGCAACGCCGAAAATGCTTGTAAACGCCGCCTGCCGTAATCCTCTGTCTTGTGACACTCGTATCTCTGTCTTGTTGCACTCGTCATCATGTCTTGTTACTCGCCATTTGTGGCTTTGAGTGTTGTGGTCAGCTGCTGTCGTCGCCGCTTGTGGTGGCTTCGCTAGCTGACGATGTAGACGACTTGTCAGATGACGGCAGAGGGCCGAGGGTCCAGCGCCAGTCTCTTGTCCTCTTCCGTCGTCCAGCGATGGGAGTCTGGGGACAAGAGTCGCTTTCATCTTCAGAAGAGGACGAGTCTCGCTTGTCGCCAGCGCGTGGGCCCTTTGACCGGGGCGAGCTCTCGGCGGATGCAAAGGTCGAGGTTGATTTTTGGAGCGATAGCTGCAGCGGCGATATGCTGGTGGTGGAAGACGTGTTGGAGGTGTTGACAATCAATGAATGATGTGCAGCTGACACGTCCGAGTCGGTGGACGAGGCAACGGACGAGATGGTAGACAGGGTAGAAACGGACGACTCGAGGTCAGAGTGGGCCATTGTGTACCTGGTCGTAGTGATTTCCTCTTCGAGTGGGGTGCGGAAGCAGACGTGCTTCTCTGCGGGGAACATGGGCCGACTGGAGGCCATCTTGCGCGGTAGTATTGAGCGAGCCGGGCTGTTTGAGAGGATGGAGACAAGGTTGTGGGGCTGCTTGTAGGGTATCGCGCTGGTGGCCGACTCGGCCGAGGCTGATGTGAGTGTTGAGGAGAGGGTGGATGCAGAGCTGGGAGTTGAGGCGCTGTTTGCAGCAGCGGGCAGATGGCTCTCAATGGACAGCGAGGGTCGTTGTGGGCGCTGCAGCGTGGGGGCCGTGGATGGGCGCTCGTAGGCGTTTGTGTAAGTGTTGCGAACAGTAGGCGAGGCGGCACTGAGAGTGTCGAGACGGAGGCTGGCGCCCTTTCCTAGGATGCGAGGCTGCTCGGTGTTGATGGACAGCTTGGGGCGGGCGGGTTGCTGGCGCGGCGGGGGTATTATAGGCAGCGAGGCGGTCATGGTGGACATGGCAGATGATTGCGAATATGGCTTGGGCATGGAGGGGTGTGACGGTTGGATAGTTGAGAGCATCATGTGTGCAGCCCGGCGTGCTGGCGGGGAGCGGGCGGGCAGATGATGCGGCGGCGGCGGTAGTGGTGGTCTGGTGGACTGGTGCTGCTAGTGGTCCTGGTGATGGTGGTGGTGGTGGTGGTGGTGGTGGTATAGCAGCAAGCAAGCAGGCAAGCAGGCTTGGACTGAGAGAGAAAAAAACGAAATGGGGGCGTGGGCGTGGGTGGGTAGGCGGAGGGGTGGTGAGGGTATTAAACAGCTTGCGGGATACCACCAACCAGCGCCATGGACCCGCCCATGTCCAAGGGCTTTTCTTGACGACGGCTACGACGAGCTTTCTCGCGCTGGGACACGAAGCGCTTGGCTGGGGGGGTCGAGGGCTTTGCAGCGACAAGGTCCCAAAATACCCCCCCGGCTAGCGCGGTCCAAAGATAGAGTGCGGAGCGTGGCAAAAAAACACTACAAGACGCAGCATCCAACCGGGCGGCCTTGGCACAGCGCCGTTGCGTCCACACACAGCCCGCCTTGACGCGCCTCAATCAAGCCTGTCCAGCCCGGCCACTCGCCGGCCTCCCCGCACACGCAGCCCGCCGAAACACGCTGCTGCTGTTGCCGGCCTGCCCTGCGACATCTGCTGCCTCTGCCTCTGTGCTGCATCTGCATCTGCATCTGCATCTGCATCCATCCATCGTCGGCATTCCATCGACACTACTTCACTTACACACACACACTCTCTCTCTTACGCCCTGCTTGCACCTGCTCCTCTCTGCGGCACCACTCCCGGCGCTTCCACCATGCAGCCCGCCGCCGCCGTCGCAGCCAGTCCTGGTCCTCCTCGCAACAAGACCCAGCGCCAGACCACCTCCATCATCCTCCACTTTGTTCGTAAGCACCAAGGCCTCCACCACCGCCGCCTCTCAGCCTCGGCCGCCCAGCTAACGCCCTGGTCTTTCGTATCCTCCAGGACTACGTGCGTCTCTGCTTACCCGCTGCGGCAAAGTAGTTGCGCAATCACTAACCCTGCCCGTATTCTTCGTCTCCACAGGACTGCTTCTACGCAAGTGTCTTTGAACACGAAAACCCGGCCTTGAAATCTGTCCCTCTGGCCGTGCAGCAGAAGCAAATCCTCGTCACCTGCAATTACGAGGCCCGCTCCCGAGTATGTCTCGATGCGTCTGCGCCACATGCCCGAGTCATCTGTCATTGACCCTCCTACCTGCCAGGGTCTGCACAAACTGCAGCTGATTCACGACGCGCAAAAAGCCTGCCCGGATCTGGTCATCGTCCTCGGAGAAGACCTGACCCGTTTTCGTGATGCCTCCAAGCTCCTCTATGCCTTTCTCACTTCCTTTTCTTGGAACAAACGCTGCCAGAGGCTAGGTTTCGACGAGGTCCGTTGAGCCGCGCTGCCCTTTTCTTGCTCTCTCCAAGGCCGCCTCCGTGTTGAAACATGTCTAGGTCTTCTTGGACGTCACCGACATGATCGAGTACAACGTGTCCATCCTCAATGTCAATGACCTCAGCAACGCCTTCTTCTGTCTTGCCAAGCATGACCCCACAGTCGGCTTCCCTTACGATGCAACGCGCCTGACTGGTCACTTGTATCCCGAATCGGTGAATGATGGCTTAGGTAAGCCAGACGGCGTGCCTCGCCAGATCATCCCAAACTGCAAGGCTGACGCTCGCCTTTTCTTTTTTAAACGCTCGCGGCTGTTGAGCGCCTACTGACACTCGTGACCATTGCCCATCATCCTGCCACCAACATCGTCCCCGCCCGTCGTGCAGCCATAGCCGTTTGTTCATGGCGCTAATGTGCAATAGGAACCACTTTGTCAGATCCACTGCTTCTCCGATTGGCCCTGGCTAGCCATCTGGCGCACCATTTGCGGACGAGGCTCGAATCCCACATGGGCTATACTGCCACTGTTGGTGTTTCGACAAACAAGCTACTGTCAAAGCTTGTCGGTAACACGCACAAGCCCAACGCTCAAACAACCCTGGTCCCACCCTACGTTTCCAACGGGGACAGTAAAACTTTGGATAATGTGACACGCTTCCTTGACGCGCACGAAGTGGGCAAAGTTCCTGGAATAGGCTTCAAAACGGCCCAGAAGCTTCGCGCACATGTGCTGCAGCGCCAAGCAAGTTTCGACACCGGCTTGGTATACGGAGCCACCCAAGAACATGTTTCTGTGCGTGATGTGAGAATGTACCCGGCCATGGGCCCAGAGATGCTCGACAGACTATTGCATGGTCCCGGTGTGCCTCAAGGTACCGGTGCCAGAATATGGGGTCTGCTCAACGGCTGCGATGAAACCAAAGTCGAACAGGCCCGCGAGACTCCACGGCAGATCAGTATAGAAGATAGTTATATGCGTTTGACCACGTTGGATGCGGTAGTCAAAGAGCTGCGTGTGCTTGCCAAGAGACTGATTGAGAGGATGCACATGGATCTGCTTGATGAGGTCCAAGACCATGTCCAAGACCAAGACGCACCTTCAGTCCCTCTAGAGACTGCAAAGCGATGGCTGGCGCACCCAAAAACCATTCGTCTCTCCACACGACCTCGCCCGCCTCAAAACCCAGATGGCAGTCGAAACCGGTCCTCTGCGCGCATCTCCAGGTCTGCTCCTATGCCTAGCTTCGTATTTAGCCTCAAAGACGACATTGCCTCGGTGACTGAAAAGCTACTTTGCGAGACTCTTGTTCCGCTGTTTCGACGACTGCACCCCGACAAGGGTGGTTGGAACCTCAGTTTGCTGAATGTCGCTGCCACCAACATGGCTGACGCTGCGAGCGACAAAGGCGGCGTTGGGAGAGATATCAGCAAAATGTTCAAGCATCAAGACGAGACCCTGCGGCAATGGAGGGTCGAGGAACCGCCAGCCGCTGATATGGAATCCGTGCAAAACATTATTACAGGGGATGGCTCGGGCTTATCGCCCAACATGGACGTCTCGAGTGACAAGATTGCTGCAGCGTTCGGTTCCGAAGACGTGCCGACGCCTTCTCAGGAGGTCGATACTTCCGCTCCCGATGCATGCGGGATGCAGTACGAGAGTAGTACGACTGACAGGGATTCATTCATTTGCAGCGAGTGTGGTGCTTTGATGCCGTTATTTGCCATGGGAGCCCATTACCGTTGGCACGCACAGAGATGGTCCGAGAAATAAGCACCAATAAGCACCAATGAGATCAATGACTATATGACAGATTGGAATTGGTGACCCTTGGTGATTGCTACCCCGCAAAAGAAAGATCTCCCTAAAGTCCCTTCCCAAAGGGGAAACACCCCGCAGAACCCGAGATCCGACCCTTATTATGGGTGTGTTCGGAACGGCTTCCTTGGCATGCCGACGTGCCATGTGAACCAAAGTGACCTCACCCACATGGCAAGCTTTAAGCAAGGCGCAAATCCGCTATTGTAATGTCCACATCCTACTGAGAATTCAACCCTAACAACCCTACACAATGCCTGGCTCATCACAACTACCCATCAGTCTCCTGCGCGACTCCTTCATCGCGCGCAGGAACTCGCCCAACGGACAACTCATTGCCTTTAACATTGATGTGTAAGTCTCTGGCCAGACGAATTGTAGTACGACGTCTTCTAACATTTCGAATAGTTTGCGCAATATTGTCTTCCTCTTCTTCGTTCTACGATGGTCGCGCATCACCTTTTACCAGCTCAAGGGTCGCGGCATCTTCGGCTCGGCCACTGACGCATACTTGAGCATTCGTCGCTATCTCTACGGTGTCTTTCTGCGACTTCCCGGTGTTCGCGAAAAAGTCCAGGAGCAGGTTTCCGAGTCGATCATGGGTTTGGAGCGCAAACTTGTACCCAGTGGACCTGGCGTTCAGCGCCTGACCAGCCTACCGGCCGAGGGATGGAGTGAAGACGAAGTGCGCGCCAAACTCGATGAGCTAGCCAACATGGATCATACCCGCTGGGAGGATGGACGAGTCAGCGGTGCGGTATACCATGGTGGAGACGACCTGATCCGACTACAGACGGAAGCTTTTGGCAAATTCACCGTGTCGAACCCCATCCATCCTGATGTGTTCCCTGGTGTAAGGAAGATGGAGGCTGAGATTGTGGCCATGGTATGTTCGACTTGCAGTGACCGATCAATGACGCGACTAACATCTACCAGGTTCTTTCTCTCTTCAATGCTCCCCACGATGCCGTAGGTGTTACAACTTCCGGAGGAACAGAGTCTATTCTTATGGCCTGCCTGTCTGCACGCAACAAGGCTTACAAGGAGCGCGGAGTAACGGAGCCCGAGATGATTCTTCCTGAGACCGCACACACCGCTTTCCGCAAGGCCTGCGAATACTTCAAGATCAAGATGCATCTTGTAGAATGCAGGGCCCCAAGCTACAGGGTCCATATTCCGTCCGTCTCCCGGTTGATCAACCCCAACACCGTCCTACTGGTCGGATCGGCGCCCAACTTTCCCCACGGTATCATCGACGACATCTCCGCGCTGAGCAAACTTGCCTACAAGAAGAAGATTCCGCTACACATTGACTGCTGTCTCGGTTCCCTGCTCGTTCCTATGCTCGCCAAGGCCGGCTTCGATAATGAACCTTTTGATTTCCGCCTCAAGGGTGTCACCAGCATCTCTTGCGACACGCACAAGTACGGATTTGCGCCCAAGGGCAGCTCAACTGTGCTCTACCGCTCTGACGCATACCGCAAATATCAATACTTCATCTCCCCAGACTGGTCCGGCGGTGTATACGCATCGCCATCCATTGCAGGCTCTCGTCCCGGTGCGCTGATTGCAGGATGCTGGGCAAGTCTTGTCAGGCAGGGTGCAAACGGCTACCTCGACTCTTGCCTCAAGATTGTCGGCGGCATGAAGAAGATTGAGGCCGCTATCCGTGAAAAGCCCGAGCTATCATCTGACCTCAAGATTATCGGTCGCCCCATGGTCTCCGTTGTAGCTTTCCTCTCGAACACACTCGACATTTACGACATTGCTGATGGCATGTCGGCCAAGGGATGGCACTTGAACGCTCTGCAGAGCCCACCTGCTATCCACGTTGCTGTGACTCTGCCCATTGTTGCCGTCGCGGATAAGCTCATCAACGATTTGATCGATGTAACCGAGGAGGTCCGAGAAGCTGAGAGGAAACGCATCGCCGAGGGCAAGGGAGCAAAGGGTGCAGTCAAGGGTGATGCCGCAGCACTATACGGTGTTGCTGGCAGCTTGCCCAACAAGAGTGTTGTCGAGGACTTGGCAAAGGGTTTCCTCGACACACTGTACAAGACCTAAGCGGATTACATATTCTCATTGCGATGATTATGAGCATGTATTTCTTTTGGTTTTCTCTTCCTTTTGTCCAAGTCGCATTAGATGTATATCCCGGGTAGTTTGTTCAAAAACGTCATATTGGTATTGAAGGCTGTAAAGGCAAAGTAGAGTTCTATGTTGTAATTTGGCTTTAGAGAAGGCTGAAGCCGAAGAAATTTTCGTTTGATATCAGCGTGTAAGCCTTGTTTTTCTTTGGAACAATTGAGTAGCAGAATGAGAGAATTTCAAGAATATTTCAATAAAACTCTAATCACTATGGTGCGATTGAGTCTTTTCTTGTATATCCTAGCCCACAAAATCGTTTCAATAATCATACAACCATATTTTCATCTACAGCGCCGCCCGTGGCGTGGTACTTACTCCCACCTCACTCGCTTCCTGCAACCTCGCCGCCTGCTGCTCCAGCGGCTCCTTCCTCCTCGGCCTCTTAAGATCGGCCTCCGTAACGCCATTAAGCCCAACCTTCGTCAACCCCATAACAGGCGGATCCCCCTTCTTCACAAACTCATACAAGCCGGGCAACTTATTGCCCGCCAGCCTAAACGCATCCTTGACAACCTGCTCATGCAAATCGCCCTTTATTTCAAAGATAATCTTGCTAACCGCGACCCTCGCGGTCCAGCGATCAAAACTTCCTTTACCTTTACCCATACGCACATCGTTGCCAGACGTGTACACGCCAATGTTTGCCGCGACACGCATGTACAGACGGAACTTCATGCCGCGGAGGCGCTTCTTGATGGTCTCCTCGGCAATGCGGAGCTGGTGTGCGGAAATGCGCCGGTCGTGGTCGCGCATGCGTAGTCCGTAGTCGCCCCAGACGACTGTGGTGCCGCGCATGCTGCCGCCAGTGGGTACGTGGCAGCGGCCCTTGCGTGATTTACGTGATTCACCGGCTTTCGGGGCGAGGTACGAGGCGTGTGACGGGGTTGAGGAGAAGAGGCGCAGACTGCTGGGTGCGGGGGGTATGGCGAATTGGCATTTTGGGAGACTGGGCTTTTGGAGGACTGTGAGAGAGGGTTAACGGTGGTTTAGGACGTTGATTTGTGCGCCGTACGTGTGGGACGGGTTGCGGAGAGGGTCAATTGCTTGAATTGAGATAGTAGACTCGGTGATATCCTTGGTGGCGGCATGATTGTTGTGTCTGTGGGTGGGCGGTTGAACTTTTGGTTAGTTGCGGTGCCGGTGGTGCAGTTGGGAACATTGAAGTTCTGTCCCGCGCCAAGATGTGGCTGATGCCTGCCTATGGGTGCCCCGTGTGCGTGTGGCTTTGCGCTGCCCCAACTGCGTAATTGCCTAATGACCGCGCGTGGTCGCGTCGACTCACGTCCGTTGCGCGCCGCCCACCAAAACCAACTCCGCCGCTAACTTCACCCCCAAAACTTTCCATACTCACACCCATCTGGCTGACCAACGCGGCAATTCAATGGTAGAGTAGCGGTGTGTGTTCTTTGCCCACAATTCAAAAATGCCAGCCGATATTCGCAGCTTCTTTGGTGGTGGGCCCCCGAAGCCTAGCCAGGATTCACAAAAGGATGAGCCTGCACCCAAGAAGGCTGCACCCAAGAAAAAAGGTCGTACGAGCAGGGTTGTGGAGGACTCTGATGACGATGAAGAAGAGGCAAAGTGAGTCGAGTATGACATTATCATTAGTGACGACAAATATTAACACTACATAGGCCCAAGAAGGCATCACCAAAGAAGCCAGCCGCTAAGAAAGCCAAACGTGAACCAACGCCAGAGCCTGAACTCGAAGAAACGACCACATCTGCATTTTTCGGTAGCTCGAATAAACCCAAGCGAACAGAACCTGTAAAGAAAAAGGCAGCCGAGGCACCAAAGACAACACCGAAGAAGGCAGCTGCAAAGCCGAGTGGGAAGGCAGCCAATGGCAAGACTTCTGGACGTGCGAAGAAACCTGTCACATCATACGCTGAGAGGGATGACGACGATGAGTTTCCGGATGATGACCTTGACGGTGCGGATGATATCTTTGGGGATGACGTCAAGGGTAAGAGTAAGGACGACTACCAGGAGGCTTCGGAGAGCGACGAGGATGTTCCCATCCAGCTGCCACATCGTGGAACACCAAAAGCTCCAGCAAAGCAACAAAAGGCGATCAAGGACGAGGATGAGGACGAGTTCGACCCTGACGACGAGGATGTGGATATGAAGGATCTGGATGGTGATGACGACGACGACTTCGACGAGGAAGAAGCTGCTAAGACGAAATCGAAGAAAGTATCAGCCGCCAGCAAGAAACGCAAGTCCCCAGAACATGACGAAGATGAAGATGAAGAGGATAAGCCGGCAAAGCCCAAGGCGAAGAAGGCTACCCCAGCAAAGTCACCAGCGAAGAAAAAGGCGAAGAAAGATGATGTTGAAGACAGTGCTGATATCCAGGCTATCTACGACAGCATACCTACCGTACGCGCTCCGACGCCTCCTCCCAAAGACCCGAATGGGAAATTCAACTGGCAAGCAAATGCGGCTCGTGGCGATGCAGGACCGACACAAGGCTCTTCCGCTGATATGCCACAAGGCTCAGATACCTGCCTTGCTGGACTGAATTTTGTCTTCACTGGTGTGCTGCAAAAGTGGGGTCGAACTGAGAGTCAGGAGCTGGTCAAGCGTCACGGTGGTAAAGTAACTACCGCTCCGAGCAAGAAGACCAATTACGTCGTCTTGGGTGAGGACGCTGGACCCAGCAAGCTGCAGAAGATCCGGGACATGAACATCAAGACAATTGATGAGGATGGCCTGACTCTGCTGATTGAAAAGTTGACAGCAGCGGGTAACAAGGGCGACAGCAAAGCTCAGGCAGTGTATGCAGAGAAACAACGCAAGGAGCAAGAGAAGATTGAAAAGCAAGCTGCAGAACTCGAGTTAGAGGAAAAGAAGCGCCAGAAAGAACTGAAGGCTGCAGCTGCGGCGGCTGGAAACAAGACAGCATCTGCAGTCACTGCTGCTGCTCAAAACGCAGGCCCAGAAGTTGACTCTCGGTTGTGGACAACCAAGTACGCACCCACATCACTTGCTCATATATGCGGAAACAAGGCGTCGGTTGAGAGACTGCAACGATGGCTACAGGCCTTCCCGAAGAGTCTCAAGACGGGTTTCAAGCTTGCTGGTAAAGATGGCAGCGGAGTGTTCCGTGCTGTCATGATTCATGGACCGCCTGGTATCGGTAAAACCACTGCTGCACATCTCGTTGCCAAGCTTGAAGGTTACGACATTGTGGAGAGAAATGCCAGTGACACCCGAAGCAAGAAGCTTATTGAAGATGGTCTGCGTGGTGTCCTCAGTACCAACTCCCTTCACGGCTACTTCGCTGGAGACGGAAAGAAGGTTGAAGGCTCCAAGAAGAAGCTTGTACTCATTATGGACGAGGTCGACGGAATGTCTGCAGGTGATCGAGGTGGTGTCGGCGCACTCGCAGCTGTTTGCAAGAAGACGGAAGTTCCCATGATCCTCATCTGCAACGACAGGAGACAACCCAAGATGAAGCCATTTGATTACGTTACGTTCGACCTCCCTTTCCGACGACCAACTGTTGATCAGGTGCGATCACGTATCATGACGATTGCGTTCCGTGAGGGTCTCAAGATGCCTACCCCAGTTATCAACGCTTTGATTGAAGGCAGTCATTCTGATATCCGCCAAGTTGTCAACATGATATCGACTGCTAAGATCGATCAAGAAGTCATGGACTTTGACAAGGGCAAGGCCATGTCGAAGAACTGGGAGAAGCATGTGGTTTTGAAGCCGTGGGACATTACACAAAAGATTCTTGGTGGTGGCATGTTTGCTGCGAGCAGCAAGGCTACTCTCAACGAAAAGATTGAGCTCTACTTCAACGACCATGAGTTCAGCCCGCTGATGCTTCAGGAAAATTATCTCGGCACAAATCCTACCCTGTCGGGAGGCTATTCTGGGAAGGAGAAGAACCTCAAGAACCTTGAGCTTGTGTCACAGGCAGCAGACAGCATTAGTGATGGCGATCTGGTCGACCGAATGATTCACGGATCTCAGCAGCAATGGAGCCTGATGCCTACGCATGCAGTATTCAGTTTCGTGCGACCCGCAAGCTTTGTGGCTGGCAACACTGCTGGAAATCAGACTCGTTTTACATCGTGGCTGGGCAAGAACAGCTCTGCCAACAAGCTTAGCCGAATGGTCAAGGAGATCCAGGCTCATATGCGACTGCGATCTTCTGGTGACCGTCATGAAATCCGTCAACAATACGTCCCAATGCTCTGGACTGATCTTGTCCAGAAGTTACAAAAGGAGGGCAAGGAGGCGGTGCCCGAGATTATCGAGTTGATGGACAGCTACTACCTCACCAAGGATGACTTTGATGCAATCATGGAGCTGGGTGTTGGTCCTATGGATCAAGAAAAGGTCAAGATTGATTCTCAGGCAAAGTCAACCTTTACTCGACTGTAAGTCTGGACATGACACTGGATTTTGACTGCATGACTAACCCGATACTAGATACAACCAGCAATCACATCCTCTGCCTTTTATGAAAGCTTCGTCAGTTACGGCACCAAAGAAACAAGCCAAAGAGAAGCCAGACTTGGAAGAAGCAATTGAAGAGTCAGATGAGGGTGAAGTGATTGAGGAAATCAAGGACGAAGATGACGAGGATGTGGATCTTTCAAAGGACAAGTACGTCAAGCAACCGAAGAAGAAGGCTGCGCCCAAGAAGCCGGCTGCGGCGAAAAAGGGGGCGAAGAAGAAGGCCAAAGATGAGGATAGTGAGGACGAGGAGGACGAGGATGTCAAGCCAAAGGGCAAGGGAAAGGGCAAGGCGAAGGCTCCAGCAAAGGGAAAGAAGTGAGGTGTGTGTGTGTGGAATAAGCTGTGTATCAAACAAGGGCAAAAGTCGGGGGGAGGGCTTTACTTTTCTGCAAGTACCTGTTATATCCCGGTAGTACATGTGTCATATTAGCGGGCGCATTTACTTATATGGCTGATACATAAACTTTGTAGTTTAATCAAAATATAACAGAGTATTATATTTAACATGTCATGTATTTGAACATTTTTTGTTCTTTTAACATCAGGCGTTACTTTCATATCTTCTCAAACCACACACAGCGCAGCAACAAGCCCAACCACCAACGCACTCACAGCCCCCTGTCCCATCTTGACTGCAGCATTCTGCGTCTGTTGCGGCGGTATCCCCACTGAAGGCGAAGGCGTCGTCCCATTCGTCGCCGTCCCATTACCCGGCGCAACAACATCATCCCTCTGCCTACTAACCTTCTCAATGCGTCCATCCAACTCGATATCCACCGGCGACTGCGCCTGAATATACCTCGTCAAAACCTCATCCTGCGTATCCAAACTCACAAAATCCGTCATAGTCTCAAAGAAATTATCGCCGCCGCCTGCGATGAAATCCAGGGTGACCATTTGATACGTAGTATCGTTGTTCAGCGGTTCGCCACCAATGGTAACAGCGATGAGTTTAGTATTGTTACCGTTGTCAGGGTTATATTCTACCTTGATGCCCTGACTGATTTGGAAAAAAGACGTTACGGCGCGTCCGTTTCCGACGTTGACACCGGTGAGGATGCCTTCGAGGGCTTCCCAGAGCGACTTTCCGGTTATGGGGAGTTGGACGATGGAGTTGCCAAAGGGGAAGGAGGTTAGGACTTCGCCGCGGGTGATGTCGCCCGTGTCGATGGTGGCGCGGATGCCGCCGGCGTTGATGAGGGCGAAGTCGACGTCGTCGGTGTTGTTTTTGCGGTAGGAGAGCATGGCGTCGGCCATGAAGTCACCCAAGAGACATTCTTGGCGCTGACAGGTTTTTTGGTCGAGTTCCACCTTTGTGGTGCCGAGGACTTGGGCGGCGAATTCTTCAAAGGGGCCGCGCCACGCTTCGATTTCGGCTTGGAGAGGCGCATCTTGCTCGGTGGTGTTGGTCAGGTGGATAGGGGCGCCGTGGTAGGCGAGGATTTTGCCCGAGGGATCGTAGGTTACGTCGATGTAGCCAACGTATTCGCCCCAGCGGTAGGAGGTTACGATGAAGACTTCGTCGCCGTCTTTGTTGTCGACAATGGTTGGGTACTTGCCTTCGGCGTCTTCCATGTCGCCGAGGAGCGTGTGGCTGTGGCCGCCGATGATGAGGTGGAGACCAGTGGTGGCTTTGGCAAGTTCCTGGTCCTTGTCGTAGCCGATGTGGGTAAGAGCTGCAATTCTGGTGATGTTGGTGGTGCTCTTGATTTGGTCGATGGCACCTTGCACGGCCTGTGTTGGTTGTTAGTCTTTGGCCATTTTATCTGGTTGGAGATTGCAGAGAAAAGAAGACTTACCTCGACAACATCGGAAAAGATGGTTGTTGGATCGGCGTTACTCAAGCTGCCAGTTTCTTGCGCGGTGACTCCAATGACTGCCAAATCATGCTCCTCAAAGATAGTCCAGGGCTTAACCGTCTTGTTGACATTTGGATCCTGCGAGTGCACATTGGCACTGACAACGGGGAATGTGAGATTGACAAGAAACTCTCCAAGCTCAGCATCTCCACCGTCAAACTCATGGTTTCCAAGTGTCATGGCATCAAATTCGAGCTCGTTGAGCACCTCGGCAATCTTCTCGCCACCATAGTAGCTGTAGAACAGGGTACCTTGGAACTCGTCACCGGCGTTGAGCCAAAGGCTATCTTCGACATTGGGGCGCTGCTCCTCAATCACATGCTTGACACGGGCATAGCCTCCGTAGCATCCTCGCTCAGGCCTGGTGCAATCGGTTCCTGAAGAGCTGAACTCGTCCAGATGTGCGTGCACATCGTTGATGTGGAAGAATGCTGCGTCACGTGAGTAAGTGTATAGAGCAGACTATGCAATGTGGCTTACAGATGTTGTAGTTTCCGTCCTGGTCAAGACCACGCTTTACCATGCGCTTGCTATACAAAACATCCTCTGCCTGAGCAAGCGTAGACAAGGCTGAGAGGGCAACCAGAGAGGCGCCTGGTGCAGTATTGAACTTCATCCTCGCCGACTCGACTCGAGCAATTGACTGTGAAAACGAAAGGGGAGGGCGCGAGCACGAAGAACAGAAACCATTATTTTTTTTCAGCCAGGGCTATTATATAACTATATGTTCCCCGGACGTCTCCGCTGACTTCATAGCATCTCTTTCTTGGCACATCTTGGTGTGGCCGTGCACAGGGCTCGGCAACTGCCTCTTCCAGTCTAATGCTTAGCCAGGCGTGATAACAGTCTGCCAATCACGGCAACACGTGCGAAGCAAAGCACATGCAGTCCTCCCGTCCATTGCTTCTTGTACCTGGATACCGGACCGCCACAAAAGGCACGGAAATTGGGCGAGGCTCACAGCAGAACACGTGGGCTTGTGTGTGTTGGAAAGGGAAAAGAAAAACTTGATTTGTGGCGATGCATGCGCAAGAGTGGGGGAGATGGAAAATGCATACAAGGCAGACTAAAGGAGTTCGCATTCATCGTACTACTATAGGTGATAGGCTGATATGACCCATGGCCAAACCCCAGAATCCCCAGACTATGGTCTACGGATACTAGGGCCCAAAAAGACTCGCATTCCCCGAACACCGGAGTGGACTTGCTGCTCGACCCGGCTAAGACTTGCATTTAGCGCAGGCCCATCTTCGGCCCAAGGTGACTGAAATTGCACCTCGTCTATCTCTTCCTGTTTTTCCATCTCCAACTCCAGATTTTCCTCTCGGTATATGACCAACGGTCGATTGTCGAAGGTATGACGAAAAGAGTTGTTCGGATGTGCGGGGTCCCACCACTCGCCCCGCCCTGTCGAAAAGGACGCCCCGGCTTTGTTTTGATCGATCCTGTGGTACAACTCAGCAGTAGAAGGGAAAAGAAAGCTTACTGGATAGTCATGCGTGTTGAGAACGTGACTCTTTCCACCACTCATCCTGGTGTGTGTCGCTGACGTCGTCCTGCTTCAACGTTAGTACATAAGAAACAATTATGTTTGCTGAGCAACATAACTTGCATCCTTCTATCAGTCTTGCTTCAAATACTTGAACCTCAACTTCCCCTCAGACCCAGACGTCGACTAGAAAACCGGCTTCTTATAAGCCGCAACCCGCTTGGTCGGAATAGTCGCAGGGCTCCAGGGCTCCTTGAACGATCCAAAGACCCAAACGGGATTGGCCATTCGTCGCCGGCTAGTCGCTACGAGTCCACACCTACCAATACCACTCAGGTCCTGGAGGATCCCAATGTGGTCCGCCTCGACGACCCCGGACGCTTGCAGGGCAATCCTGACAACAGCATTGCCATAGTCAAGCTGACCCAGGCCCGGCTGCTCACCCCTGGCAAGAGCCTCTTCGCGACGAATTGTCTCGTACGCCTGGACGCTGGCGAAACGAGTGAGGAAGCGGTGCTTGAGCGTCAAGCTACCCGCTTTGTCGCTTTGGAAGATCTGTGATGTCTTGGAGCCGACCGAGGTGGGCCGAGAGTGCTGCAAACCGACGAGTGGAGCCCATCCGTACCGTGATGGCAGGGCATCAGGGGATGCGGACTGCTTGACGGTATCCTTGGCGGAGAAGAAGCGTGGCTTGATGGGTCCGGAGACGAAACAGACCTGCTTCTTGACCGTGGCGGGAAGGGATGGGCGTGCAGTTGGCTTTAGAGCGGGCTTTCCTGCGTGGGGTCCACGACCCAGTGGCTTCTTGTCAGTACTGGGGGCTGCTGACTGCTTGATACTGAGGGTTCGTCCAGCGGTAGGACGGGGCTTGCGATCGCCAATAGCCTTTGGCTGCGGAACAGGCTTCTGGCGACGGGCGAGAGGCGTGGTGGTTGTCGGAAGGTGACGCTTTCCCTGCCCCTGAGGCTTCGTGATCGCAGCCACCTTATCGCTCTTGGCTGGTACCGAAGATGCGGGTTTGGCAGCTTTGACTACGTTGCCTCGTGTTGTCCCCTTGGTACCTGGTCGGGATGGTAGTGGTGTTGTCTTGACACCATCCTTTAGCGGGTTCGACGGAGCGGTAGTGGCGCGTAGATCTGCATGTTGTTAGTAAACATGTTTTACATGAAGCAAGATCAGTTCACTTACCTTGTACTTGCTCCTCCACAGTAAACTCCTTCCTTGGGTGCACACGTGGCATGCTGACACCTTCGCCCTTGTACTGCGAACAATGGGCGAGTCCGACAAACCACGGCGATCGGTGGATCCGGAGTCCAAGCCCGAGTCGCTTCATGCTGATGAGCTCTCGTCCGATGAGGTTGAGGGTCGAAGTCTGTTGGTCCGCATCAACAGACTCGTCGAAGCTCTTGTCGTTGAAGAGCAGTGAGGAATCGTCGGTTCCCGAGTCCTCGGCTTCGTTCCGCTCGACAGGCTGCAGGATTTCAGAGTCGACCTCAATAGGGCCTTGCTCTGTGGTCTCGTCTTCGCAGTCTTGGGCGACTGCTACTTGATCTGCAGGAAGTGAAGTCAACTTGGCCTTGGGGGTCCGAACAACACTCACTGATCTGACCCGACACTCCATGCTCTGTCGGACCCGAGCATCCTTCAACGCCACAACCGTGGGTCTTGGAATCTTGGTCTTCAAAAACGCACAGGCACCATTCTGCTTGTAGTCAGCTCTGGATCGTGCATGGAGTTGGGGTACACGAGTCGCCGAAGCGCTCGGTCTTGTCCTTGACGTCAACCCGCTGGCTGGGGGCAAGTTCTGCCTCGACGCAGCCAACGTCGTTCTTGGCTTTGCGGTTGACTTGTTTGATCGTTGGAGCTGCTTGTAAGGCAGCCTGATCGGCTTGACAGCGACACTAGCCTGCTTTGCAGCACCGCGCATGTCGGGGACGCGGCGTGCAGGAGAAAGAGAATGAACAACCTTGCGGGTTGCAGCAGAAGACATTGTGGATGTATCTCTGTATACTGTTAGAGTATCATCAATGAATAGAGGGGGTGTGAGTGTTCTCACGAAATGGGACCGAAATGTGGTGGTGAGCAGAGTGAGGTGGGCGGCCCTGTTTATATACACAACAGAAAGAGTGAAACCTGCCATGGTGCCATGGCAACCTGACGATTCACTCTGAAGTCGCTTGAAGTGAGATCAGATGGTTTTCTGTAAACAAGAGCATGGCAATGGGTGATGGCGACGTACAAAGGCTCCAGTGTTGCAAGCGAGTATATATGAGCTTACCGATGTTCGATAACTCCAGAGCTAACGACAGAGTCAGATAACTATACAAGAGAAACATATCAGGGGGATTATTGCAAAAGTCTGATGATAGCGGTCATTGTTGATATATAAACATATCTGTCTTCCAGTAACAACGAAGTGTCTCAAGAAGGTTGATACAGAGACACTAACAGAACAAAGGATAAGGTTGGCAGGGAATTTAAAGTCTACGAAGATTCCGAATGCGATTGCTTCAGAAACCAATCTCAAGCAAACTGTTTTACATTCACCCACTTCTGGTCATTCTCTAAATACGTGTGAACACACTTTCTCCATGCAAAACAGAGTCAAAAGTGTCTTATATCCAACTTAAGGATAATCTCATGACACTCGGTGATTTTCACTTCAATGATTCATTCACATGAGAAACACCGTCAAAACCCCATGTACATCAGGCATTGTTTACGCTCGCTTTCTTTCTCATCTTCACAAACACTGTTTTTGATTTCCTTTCCATGATACATTACATTATGACAGACTGCACATCACAGCATCCCAATCGAAAATCTTCCTTTTCTAAAAGTCAAGCAGCAGTGATGGTCACACTGCCGCCCTCCAGGCCCTCCGCCGTGGCTTCAACCACGATCTCTCCAGTTGCCCCAGCTTCGCTCCTTACGATAGCTAGTGCCAAGCCGCCGAAAGCCTTCCTTGTTGTCTCCGGGAACGGTACTAGATCTGTTGGGTCGCCATTGTCTGTACTGATAATGACACCAGGGCCGGATGTTACCTTGAAGCTGATTGCGTGGTCGGCGGTCGGAACGAGAGTACCCTGGCTATCATGCACGGCCACAGAGATGAAAGAGAGGTCGTAGCCGTCACCGGTGATGGTAGAGCGGTCTGCAGTGATGTTGAGCGAGGCAGCAGATCCCGCTGTGACTTGCGACGCGGTTGCCCATTCTGCGCCATCCTTATAAGTTACTACGGTGACGTTGCCGGGACTGTACTTGATATCATCCCAACGGAAGCGGTATTCGTATTCTGCCTTCTCCTTGCGACCAGCAGAAACACCGTTTACGAAGAGTTCGGCTGCGTCACCAGAGCTGTAGACATGTACAGGAGTGGTCTCGCCAGTACGGTCCTCTGGCCAGGTCCAGTGGGGTAGAATGTGTGCCATGGGAAGATCAGACCTCCAGCGAGACTGATAGAGGTAGAAGCGATCCTTCTTGAAACCTGCGAGATCTATGATGCCAAAGTAGGAGCTGCGGCTTACATTGGCGTATGGCGTGGGTTCACCAATGTAATCATGTCCAGTCCAGACGAACTCCCCCGCAACATAAGGATGCATGTCTTGCATTTGGAAGACTTTGTCTGGAGACGCGGCCCACTCCGGTGCGTAGAGATCGTAAGAGCTGATGTGGTTCGTCACAGGATCTCCGCCTTCGCCAGGCCCTCCGCCAATTACTGCGCTCTTGCTGGAAGTGACAGGGAACAGGTACTTGCCACGAGAGCTGATAGTAGAAGCAGACTCGGTACTCCAAATCATCTTTTCGGGAAATGCGTTCTTGAAATCAGGAAACGAGCTTCGCCAAGAGACACCTTTGCCTTCTCCCTGGTAGTTTAGGCCGATAATGTCGATGGTTGCAGCAACTCCAGTGCTTGCATTGGCATTGTTCATACCAATGGTAACTTTTCGAGTAGGATCTTCCTCGTGAGCTATATCTTGAAGCATCTTGACGGTTGCAGTGCCAGTAGCATTGGATTGTTCCCGAAGCTCATTGCCAACAGACCAAGAGACAATGGAAGGATGGTTCCGATCGCGACGGATAAATGAACGAAGGTCAGGCTCATGCCATTCTTGGAAAATGCGATGGAAGTCGTTTTCTACCTTGGCGTAATTCCAGGTATCAAAAATCTCGTCCATGACCAATAGACCCATGCGGTCAGCGAGATCCAGGTACCCGGGTGCTGGTGGGTTGTGCGAAGTTCGGAGAGCATTGTTGCCCATCTCCATAAGAGTCTCAATCTGGCGCTCCGCAGCTCGTACGTTGAAAGCAGCGCCTAGCGACCCAAGATCGTGGTGATTGCACGACCCCTGCACGTAGATGTGCTCACCGTTGATCAGAAGACCCTTATTTGGGTCGTATGCGACGGAGCGGATGCCAAAGACAGTTTCGTAGGTGTCCACCTCTTTTCCGTCAATTGATACAGTGGTAACGGCAACATACTCGTTGGGTTTCTGAGTTGGTGCAGGTCCCCAAAGTTTAGGGTTTGCTACTGAAACTGAGCTTTTTACAGCTTGCTTCGAGTTCCCTGCCACATCGGTGTTTGCTGTTGGAAAGGTCGCAACATTGTTGCCTTTCGCCGCTTTGGATATAGGGTCGCGCTCGTAGATCTGAGTAACGACCTCGACACTCTGGCTGCTGTTGGCCTTGTTCTCAACTTCAACAACAATATCAACAGTTGCCTCGGCTTCTGAAATGCTAGGAGTAGTGATGTATGTTCCCCATTGCGCGACGTGTACAGGATCAACGGTGACCAGCCAAACATCTCGGTAGATTCCAGCACCGGGGTACCAGCGTGATGAATCCAGCTTGTTGTCCAAGCGAATAGCAAGGGTATTCGCTCCAGCTTTGGCATAGGGCGTAAGGTCTAGGCGGAAGGAATTGTAGCCAAAAGGCCACCCTCCCACAAGCTGGCCATTGAACCACACTGCAGCATAGGCCATGGCTCCCTCGACATCCAGGAAAATGGATTTTCCAGAGTCAATAATCTCAGCATCGATTGAAACCGATCGTCGGTACCATCCAATTCCGTTGATTGGCAGAAATCCTAGGTCACCAGTAACGCCAGGAGCGTCGAATGTCCCCGTAATGGCCCAGTCGTGTGGTAGAGTTACTGCTTCCCAGCTTGCATCGTCGAAGTTCGACTGCACATAGGTGGTGTTGGAGCCAGGCGCAGCGCCAGAAGGGCGTTGGTATTTATCTCCAACAATGAAGTCGTTTGCAGAGGGCATAATCCATGGCTTCAGCGTCTCGTAGCTGAGGCCATCGGGATTGGACGTGAAACGTGAGAAGCGCCAATCTGCGTTGAGAGACGAGCGCATACGGCCCGTTGAAGCCGCACGCGGTTTCTTGACAACATGTGCAGATGTTGCATCGAAACAAAGCGAAAACAAGAAGCCGAGCAGGACGAATCTGTACGTTTTGTACAGCGTCCCAGATGAGCCCAACATCTTGAACAATCGAGACAGCGTTGATGGAGGACCAAGCTGCGGGATTTGTTCATCCAAGAGGCCAAATCAAAGAGTGGCGCTACCGCCGACTATGTTGAATACTTTGGAGTGCAGTGGTACATCCATCGTCGGCATCGCGTCTTTTGTATGTTCGGCGAAAAGGCGCCATAGGACCACATAGGGTGCGGGTCAACTCTCTCCGTCTCCCTGCACGTACTTCGTCACGGCCGGAAAATTGAAGAACAACACGCCGTCTCGGCACCGAACGATAGGCTATTTGTCGAATGATACCTAGCAAATGGTACCTATCGAGGGAAGGAAGCGGAGACTCTAAGCCGTCCCGCACTGTAACGTTGTATGCAGAGTGCGGGGTGGCTCTCTTGGCTCTGCTTAGCTCTCGCCTTGAGTTCGGCTGAGCCGGGCACAGACCTGTATTTTGTGAAGTCTTACCCAAAAGGACCTTGACAAGTGAAGATCCTTGTTGTCGCTTGCCGGTTGATGGATGATATCGAGAACGTGACGTCGTACGCTAAGCCCAGAGGGGACTTCGATCCGCTTGCTGTCCCCTCACCTTCCCGCTACGTGAGAGCAACCATTACTCGAGATGGTGGATTCGGAACCCATATTTTCCTGCTTTCGGTGCGATAAGCTACCGTGGTGATTGTAGCATAATCTTCGAGAGATGTCGTTCAATTGAGAAGGAGTGCCGACGGCCGAGGGCTCTACAGCTCCGATTAACTAGCCGCGAAAGGATATCGGTCAACCCACTTGACTTGATCGATGAGATAACGACAGATATATTATCTGTTCTATTGATCCTTCAACCCGTTAAATGGCTCAATGGATTATGAAATCAACAAGCTCCGATTAAAAGAACAACAGCAACCATGCCCGCCAGAATACCGGTGCCCATGTATCTACAACATTAAACCGTCTAAGCTCTGTCAGCCGTACTACTCCCGCCGTTTAGAGATATTGGAAATCGAATCGTAGCATCAAACCGTGCTCTACGTATTTTACCGTACCAAAGCGCATAAGTAGTCGAGAAAACGTCGCATCGAACACCATGAACAGCGTAGCCTCAACGTACCATCTCTTTGTTGCCAATTAAAAGATCGTGCCATGACGCAGAAATCGAGGCCCTTTAAGGACCCAACATTACGATGAGCTGAAGTTTCGATATCTATGGGACATGCGACTACAGAAAACCGAGAATTAGGGTGCTGAGACAAAGTACGGTTTGATGTGTGTATGTTTTGGAGACTTGGCCCGCCACGCCATACGTAGATAGGCTAAGGGAACAGATTGTTGGAGGAACTCTCGCAGTTTCTAAGAGATGCTTCTAAGAGTTGGATTCCATTACGGCCGCGTAGTATAGGTATCGCTCTCCCATCCTTTCCGTTTTGTAAGACAATTATGGATCTTTATGAACATAGCTTAAAGCCAGATTAGTTTGATACTTTTGAAGAAGTTTCTGGTACAACAGAATGAGATCGGCATTCTGTATATCTTATCAGGCAGCGCTGGGTAAGTTGCTTATGCCGTACCAGGTATTAAGCCGAGCCGTGCGATTGCCGTTGACTGCAGAGTATAGCCTATCTCATCTCACTTGGAGAGACCAGGTAAGTGGTACTTGGACTACTCTCAACCATACATGTCTCCAAGACCGTGTTGCTGAACGGAAAATCGGCAATCCTAGAGCGAAGTATGTGCATAGGAACAGCGGTGAGCTAGAGACGCAGTAAGCGCAATAAGAATCTTATATTACAGAACTCAGTGGCCTAAATCCGAGAACTCCGACGCTAGACGATTTTATTGGTGAAACTTATACTATCAGGTGCGAAGTTGTGGGCGTGTTTGTTTCCTCGTTGAACTCGAACACGGAGAAAAAACCGCGCCCTCCGGTGATGAGAAGATATGGTGTTTCTCGTTGATATTGGGCACCTTTAAAAGCATAAGAAATGTGAAAACTCCCCTCAGGCCGTGTGAATTTCATGATCCCTGTAAACTGTATTCCGAAAACAGGAATACAAATCAGGAATTAGGTTTATAGACACCAAAGGTGCTCTGGCGAGCCCGGACAAACGACTTACTTGAATATTTGTAATTGAGCCGAGATCGAGTAGGCGTAGGAGGAGAAGGCGAGCTTTTCTTAATTATAATACGAGGGACTTGCTCAAGTCCCATATCGTCCATTGTCTTCATCTGCAACTCGAAATTCCACCGGATAAACGTTAACTGATCCTCAAACGCCATCATCATGGAGATCCAGGCAATCTTCCTCCTCTTCGCCGCTAGTGTCTTCGCTGGTGGCTCCGGCTGGGTGACTACCATCACCGCAAAGCGCGTTTTCGCAAGCTAATCGCCCAAATCCCAGGAATGCTACAAAAGATCTGAGAAATTTAGAAACGACCACGCCGAGCTGCCCGAAGGGTCGGATCCGGACTACATCTTCAGCTACTGTCCAGAGGCGAACGGATGTTGCGCCAATGGCAAAGCATGGTATCCCTGCAATAGTGTAAGTCGAGTCTATGCAGTGGTTATGCAGTGCGCTGATGATTTGCAGACATGTGTGCCGGGAAATTCGTGCGTTGGCTTCAATAACACTGCTTTTTGCTAGGGCTGTAATGAACTGCAAGGTGGCATTGTTGCGGATCTATTGCGTTGGCTAGCATTTACTAAGAGTAATAGATGAGTGCATGCGGTCATAGTGTGCCTGTGTATACGGTAGTGTGAGAAGTGGCAGTGGCGACAGTGGCTGGCCGAAGAAGTGGCAGATCTTGGCGAGGCCTGCCGTGAGCTAATACTATATATTTTCCCCTAAAAAACCTTTATAGTATAGGGAAAAGCTAATAAATTCGCCCTATAGAGTACTATAGGGATATAATTAGTGTAGAAATACCTGTAGTGTTTAACCTGTAGGATTCTTGCGGAATGGGGGATTTGCGTAACACAGGGATGGACGTTATATACTATATAAGTCGATCGCGTGCATTTGTGTAACAATTGATTGAAGCAATAAGAACTACGTCTAGCTGTGCTGACTTCTGATGTTAGGCATAATTTCACATAAAGCTCATGCAGCATCCAGGTTACCTCCTGTACGAATCTTGTCGAATATAGTCGTTCTGTCGACGTACTCCGTGCCCTGTAAACCAAGCTTAAGGAAACCCGGATCGGCAAATTCTGCCTTGCGCTCCGCCAGCTCCTCAACATCCCAATTTCCCCAGACAAATCGACCATGCAAGAATTGTGCCTGCCTGGTTGAGGCCCAAACTGAGAACGCTGCAGGCAGTTCCGCTTGATGCATATATTAGCTTTGATACAACAATTCAACAATTGCTATAAACTTACGCTCATCCCACACCACAGCGTCCTTCACTTCTTGTGGCGCCTTCTCAGCAGCCTCAGTCAGGACAGCACCCGGATGGACATTTATGATGTGGCATCGACTCGAGGGCATTTCGTCGGCAAGAAGCTGCAATGTATGCGCAAGAGATGCTTTGCTGACGCTGTATGCGGCCTGTAATGGGGAAGGATTGGCATGCGCTGCAAAACTCGAGATGTTGACGATAGCTTTTGGCCTTCCAACATGTTCATCCTGCGGCTGGTCGAGGAAGCTGGAGACTGCGAGGAGGTGTCCGAAGAGATTGGTTTCCATGACCGTGCGGAGCTGAGGGAGAAATTCTTTGACTGGAGTTATAGAACCAGTTGAGGCATCGGCAGCGTTAATGACAAGCACGTCAACGAACATTTCGTTCAACGAAAGGTGCTGCCATAGGTCCCTAATGCTGTCCTCAGAGCGGATGTTGCAAACGATAGGGACGATCTCAGAAGTCCTAAATGAATCTCGCAGGGTTTGTGTCGCTTTTTCAAGCGCCTCCTTCCGACGTCCTGTCAGGATCACTCGGCCTGCTTTGGCCTGCATAAAGGCTTTAGCTATGGCGAAGCCAATGCCAGATGAAGCTCCTATAATTAGGATCGTTCGGCCAGACTGATCATTTTCGATCGTAGTAGGGGAAATTGCAGCATAAGAGGAATGATGAAAGATTCTGGTTGTGGATGCCATTGCTGTATCTGTTGGCTAGTGTGTAGCAGACATAGGTCCTGATTTTATACTTGGAATGGGCCATGATGATGACGAATGTTCTGCTCAGTGATTCTAAGCTCTCTGGTCGCTTTGTGATGTTTCTACAAGCACGGTGAGCCAGTCTCTGTGAGCCAGTCTCTGTGGCTCACATTGAGCGATCGGAAAGAGAAGATCACGTGGTTGGACTGCGTATACTAACCAAAATTGGCTTAGTGGTCAGCGTGGCTCACGTCCAAGATTGTAAGCCATCCTTTATTGTCCTGCAGCATGGCTCACATCCCAGGATATAAGCCATGCTCTAGCCTACTGCAGCTTGGCCCTTGCCCCTCAGACTGATCTCCCTCGCCATGGATAACACGACTGAAGCGGTGTCAGCGCCCAAAAAGCGCCGCATCACAGCGAACAGGAGGCAGCAAGGCCGTGAAGCCCAAAGAAGATATCGTTCGTTGGCCGCTCCCTGGATGGGGCCATTCTAACAGGCATGCAGGGGAAAAGCAACGAGCTTCGCAGGCGAACGGGGATGGAGCAAAGGTAGCCGCTAATACAAGCGGTGGCACGGGCGAGCTAGTCGGCTTTCCCGCGTATTTCGACAATGACAACATGTTGGAACAAACCTTTGCCTTGTCCGATAATCTCCAGTCTTCAATGTGGGGGACGGTAGCTGGAAGCTCTTTGTTACCAACGGTGTTGGAACCCGATGCGCTGGTTGCGCAATCTGTGCTGCCGAACAGTCAAGTTGCAAATGCTGTCAGTCAACATGCCACAAATTCTACTTTGCAAATCCCATTGGATAGTTACATCCACGTTCCGCGATACTCCTTCTATGCAGCAGGAGCTGCAAACGCAGCCGTTTTGGGCATCTCCTTCGCGCGCCTCCAAGAGCACAAATGTGGTGATGACCGCATGCTATCACCATGGACAGATCATACATCACATGTAAACTTGTACGAACTCACATGCGCACCCGATCTTATCGCGGGCGAATGCCAGAGAAAGTATGACCACGATCTTTACATTGATTGCTTGCCTTTTAAGGATTTTCGCGAAAACTTGTTAGCTTTACGATCATTGGAGCCCAAGATATTTGATGAAAACGATTTTATCCAAGATTTGGACGTCCGCGATGCATTTCGATGCTGGGGTCCGACGCCTTGGGAAGATAGATCGTGGGAGGTCCAGCCTTGGTTTCTCCAGAAGTGGTGGATGATCGTAGGTGGAGAAAATGGAGAGATGGCGACATCAAGTCGATGGTGGCGGAGGTTCCGGGGAGAGGGCTGATCCGGCTTGTGAGACCTGCTTCACAGAAGCAATGTAGCGCTTGACACAAATAGCAGTATTAGGGTTACGTAGGGTTACTAGCATTGCGCGACAATATGTCCGCGACAATACACCCGATATCTATGCGCCAGCCAATCAGCATACGCGACATTACACCCGGGACATTTTGTCGCGTGATACTTAGGAGCTAGAGGGGGGGGGGGGGCTCTCGCGGAACCGAAATGGCCGAACATCTCAGGCAAGCGAAAGGGCTAGTTTCTTCACTTGATCAACTTAACACGCAGCTGCACCTTTGTACATAAGGTCTAACTCTCTAAAAACTTAGACATCTATTAAATCTATATAGCGCTTTATTTTGTATGCTATACATATATATTTGAACGTTGTTGTTGTGTTGATATTTAGCGTTTAAAGTGGGTACTTTTGGTGGTGGTTTGGTGTTGTCTGGCTATTTCAGTTCTGCGAGAGGGGGGGGGGTCAATACCCAGGGTTTGCCTAATTAGGACTAGTGCCTGGCAAGACCCAATACTCAGGGCATTAAGCACGGGCCTTAAGTCAATATCAACTGACTATTGTTAATCCTAATATCCTTAGATTATAGATAGTACTCTTTGTAGTATAGGGTTTATTCTTCACCCTGGCCTGTATCGTCCCTTGCTAGCGGGCCCACATACATCAATTATGACATGTAGCACAGTACTGAACTGCTCTAGTAAAACGGATATATGGGGTAGTATATTATACTAGACTAGGGCTTCGCATTTTCGGTCACCCCCCCCCCCCTCCCACCTCCCCACCCTGCTCTCTTATTTATCCTAGACGTCACAATCCTCTTACGCATAATGAATCCTTATCAAGCCTTCAAAACCCATTTCACCATCTTAAATTCTGCCCTTCTTGAGAACCTCACATTCACGGCCCTCGACGGCTTAAGCAGCGCCAGCGAAAACTTGTTCTCGTTCCTTGGTGGGTCCCATCGCAACTGACTCTTTCCCGATATAGGCTGTATGTCAAAGCCCAACGCTAAAGCAGCAGTTGCACCGAGAACTTCCATCTGCGCAAAGTGGCGTCCTGGACACATGTTTGTTCCTCCACCAAAGCCTCTAAAAGCAGCAGCATGCACTATGTTTGCTTTCTCATTAGAGATACTGCCGTCATGATTGGATTTCGAACCCCTTGGGCTATAAAGAAAACGATGCGGATTGAATCTAGAAGCGTCATCGCCCCAGATGTTAGTATCGGCGTGGATAACACCGTTAGCGATTTGCACGAGACTACCTTTACGTAGCAGGTAGCTATCTTCTAGAATGGTGTCCTCGGTTATATATCGCGCCGACACCATGGGGGTGATGAGTCGGACTGATTCCCTAAAGACCGAGTTCAGCAATGGGCAAGTATCTCGGAGCTTGTTCACTGAGATAGTTCCAGGAGCTTCAAATGCATTTTGGTAAATCTCATTCCGAATCTGTCCAAGTAGGTGGGGGCGGCTGAAGAGGTTGTTCAGAACCCAGAAGCATGTGATCCCAGCGTTGGAGTTGATTGCAAAGCTTATGGCTAATTCGAGTCGCGCATTCTCGTCGTCCGATATTCCTTCAGAATTATGCATGCGTTTCTTCTCTTGCATTAGAGGGTTGGCTTCCTTGTGGTAACCATTGTTCGTGTATTCGATGAAGCCTTTAACAATGGCCTCGAGGCCTTGATAAGCCTTTCTTGTAGTCAACTGAGGCAAAACCCCAGCACCTAGCTCGAGGTTCATGTGATCCCAATCCCAGTATTTCTCTACTAGCTCTGGATGTACCGCAAAAGGATTTCGGGGGCCGTAGAAAGCGTGCATAGATGCAGCCATCAGCGGTCTTGTAATGAACCTGAACAAGTCCACATCGATATTGTCTTCGATGTTTTCCAGGAAATTGCTGAAGTGGTTTAATTGTTGCTTGGTCAGATCATCGATCCTGTGCGGAGCAAGCCCTGGGTTGATATGCTCATGGGATCTTTTCACCATAGGAACACGCCCTTCCTCTTTAGCTTTGGCATCCTCCAGTATCTTTTTCGTTTGTGCGCTCGTTCGACATACGCGAGGAATGATCTCAACGACCAGTGGATCGAAGTCCAAGGTAGAGTGCGCGCGTTGTACAGCTGCGGCAAGGGAAGGAGACGTGACAACATAAGTGCGCATGGTCAACATTGGCATTGTAAAGATAGGTTGTTTGCACCGCTGACTGGACAAATATTAGGATCTTGTTTGAAAGAAGCATGAGGTTACTTACCTAATTGTCTTGAGATACAAAGGACCATGAATAAGCATGCCAACAACATGGCCGATCCAAGGAAATCTGGGATGTACAACAGGTGGCTCGCGAGGATCAAATCGCATCTGGAAAAGGTATAACAAGACTGCGGCGATAATCGCTAGACTGCAAATGGTCACAGTCCAATCAGGGGCAGTCCAATCTGCAATCCTTCCTAAGATATGATTCTGGAGAGCCATAATGAATCAAAATGTGAATAGCAGATTCAACCCAATACGTGAATCTGGTGAGCAGAAAATCAAACACTTAACAAAATGTTTTATGATTGATCGATTTTCGAAGAATACCAGCGGAATTTATACAGTTAGGTGATATGGAAAGGTCTTGGTATCACTGATCCTCACGCCATCAATCCGCCACCTGCAGCTAGAACACGAAGCAATCGAGATAAAAATTCACCGGAAAGACTATTCATCGGGCCGGCGTATATTGACAGCCGATCTACTACCATAAACGTCTTCTTATAAAGCAGGAAAGTTAAAGATTTGTTGTGTGATAAAATACGGAGGTTTAGACAACAATCTATTATGATGAGTATATATAAAAAGCAGGTTAAACAGGTATGAAAACAAATATAAACAGCGTTGCTTGATATAAAACCTCATTACTGCGCGGAAGACAAAAGCAGAGTAACGAATATTCGCATAGTCAAACTCTTACCAGCATCTGGGCTAGTTTAGAATATCACAAGGGAAGGGAGGCTTTTGAAACTTACGATATTTTGAACGCTTCGGACGAAATACAGCCCGCAATGCTATTCTAGTACTAGACATAGTGAGTAGTTGGCCACGATAGGCCTAGAGCATTAGCGTCCACTTATTGGCAAAAACCCCGAATCTAGAATGGATATTTCTATCATGTGGCTTGCGCATTAGTTTCTTAATCTAGCTAGTAGGCTGGCTAGACCGGTAGGCTGACCAAATACACATCGTTTATCTGATGGAGGATTGTGAAACTGGCTATGCGCCGCTTGGATAGCGTCTCAATAGAATCTCGGCCCGTCTGTATAATCCTGGTGCTCTAGCCAGCACCTGGGTTCTGTGTGCGCACTATCTAAACTACGTTTAGATTTTGGATATAGAATCTGAGTGTCGTCTAGAGTACCCAAAATCTGTATAACATCTGAGATCCTATTAAGGAGCTGCCCTATCCCCGTCTCACTCTTATTAGAATATTAGACCGTTTAGTAAAACGAGAACTGTGCAAGGACAGATAAAATGCTAAAGGGACAGGGTAAGGGTGTATACGCAGTAAAGAATTAAACCTAGTGCCTTATATTAGTATAAGCGGATCATTACTACTATAGATCCTTGGCCGTCTCGGCGAGCTACGTAACTATCACTATGGTCCCTCTCACAATACCGGTACAACCGGAACATGGCGGCCCCTCCTAGCCGTGCAAAACCACTTTATGATAAAAACATTTCAAGTTCTTGATAGCTAGTTTTGGTGGGAAATAGCCGCTTGTTTTGATTTTCAGGTATTGTGAGAGAGACCCTTGACCTCCCTTTTTTGTCCATAGATCTAATAATCGCCGAATACTTAACAATCTGAGGATGTAAGCGAGCCCCACTGTGACGTAGTTGTATTGAGTACTTTTTAATTGGGCCGCATAGAGCTAAAACCGTAGTAGTCAACTAAACGATAGCTGTTCGAGCGAAGATGTATTGGTAAGACACCCCGCAATTTCTAATCGCGGGCCGTTGAGACCGCTTCTACCGTATATTCCATGTCATTGGCTAGCCCTCTTTAGTATATCGGCCCGTGTGTTGCGTAGACATAGTATATATATCTTGTGCGGCCGTTCCTTCTAGGCTCATATACGACATCGCTAATATGAACCCTCAGACTGTCGAGCTGGTGGTACGTACGCTGCAGACGACAGCTATAGTGTCTGTTATCTTTGCGGCTTGTGCCTTTATCCCACGACTACACTATAGAGCCCAGATTAAAAAACTGCCTGCTCTGACCCTCCAAGGAGACACCAAAGCGAGGAATGACTTCATAACTTCTGCGAAGAAGTTATATAAGGAGGGGTATAGCAAGGTAGGTCTAGCTCTGATATACTTGATCAATTCCTGCTTACTAATAGCGTTATTAGTTTAGAGGCTCTGTATTCACACTCATCAATGAGAGTGGTAGGTCAGCCCCGTACAGAAGAACAATTTCCAGTCCATCGCTAACACCTCTTCAAGGCAAGGAAAACGTCGTCATCCCTCCATGTTTTTTACCCGAGCTTCGAAAGTTGCCCGAGAATGTTCTTAATCTCCCATTGGCTACCTCAGATGTGAGCTGTAAATAAGCCTATTGTAGATTTGAACTCTGCTAACTTCTTGTGCGCAGGTCCTAGAAGCCAAATACACAAAATTTCCAATCGAGAACCACGCAGCCGCCTTTTCAGTCAGAGCAAAACTTACCCCAGCGCTACGTAAGGCCCTAGAAAGAACTGATCTTTCGATTTAGTCTTGCTAACCTCTATAGAACGGCTGAACGCAGCCATACTTCAGGATGTTAATGACGCAATCGAGACCTATTTACCCCCATGTAACGACTGGACTGAGGTAAATGTCAATGAGAAACTAATCCGCATTATTTCTAAGGTTTCGGGTGGAGTTTTTGTCGGCCGAGAGCTAGCTAGGGATCTCGAATATCTCGATCTTAGCTGTTTCTACGCTGTTGAACTTACAAACGCTGTTGCTAGCTTAAAGAAGCTTCCACCATGGCTAAAACCTTTTTTAGCGTCACGTACGCCAGAAATCATTGCACTTCGCGCGCGCGAGAAACAAACTATAAGAGTTCTTCGCCCTATAGTTAAAGGGCGAATGGTGGCTAAGGCCAATGATCCTAACTGGCAGGAGCCAGACGACGTATTGCAATGGTTGATCAACGAAAGCAATGGTACTGATTCGGTTGAGACGCTTGCCACTGTGCTGCTGGCCTTAATCTTCGGTGCTACCCATACTACCACCATCACCTTGACAAGCATCTTGTATACCCTCGCTGTTACACCAGAGTATGTAGAGCCTCTCCGTCAGGAGATTTGTAACGTCTTAGCTGAAGAGGGTGGCACCCTTACGTTCCGTGGACTTCAGAAGCTGAAAAAGCTCGACAGCTACATGAAGGAGGTTTTGCGATTCTACGGACCTTTCGTCAGTAAGTTGTTTTTTTAGTATGAAAATGAGCCCTAATCAGTAGAGATTCTTGAATTTTCCTCAGCCACTAACTTTCTCTCCTCAGCATCTTTTACCCGCCGCACACTCAAGGGCATAACTCTCAGCAACGGCCAATATATTCCCGCCGGCGTCATGATTGAAGTTCCCACGGTGGCTGTCTACCAAGACGAATTGCTCTACCCTTCTTCTGGAACCTTTGATGGCTTCCGCGCCTATAAGACCTGTTCTACTGGCAACGCCGCAGATATCGCCCGCAACCAATTTGCTACCTCTAATGAAGAGAACCTGACTTTTGGCTATGGTAGACACGCTTGTCCTGGTCGTTTCTATGCCGCAAATGAAATTAAAATGATCCTGGCCCGTCTCATCCTCGACTACGATATCAAGATGCCTAATAACGAGCGAGAGAGACATGCTCAAATCGATGTTGGCAAGATCTCATTGCCAGATCCAACCAAGATGCTGGCGTTCAAGAAAGTAGCGGTTGAACGCGGACAAGGCAAATAACATGCATCCCTTCATGCTCATATCCTTCTCTGCGAAGTGAGCGATTAGCCCTACTTTTTGGGGTGAAAGAGCTTATCAATCCATTTGCCCAAGAGAAATGCTACACAAGGATACAGAAGTTGGCACGCGCCCTTGGTAGACCAGTACGCAGAGGTATGTGCAACTGGTAACTTACTGATGTATGTTGCCTGGAAAATTTGAAGTGATCGAGTTTCAGCGTAGGCGAGGAGGTGTATTTGCTTGACACTGGGTACTGCAACGGGCCTTACGTGGTTGTATCACTTCTGTCGGTTGAAAAATGTAGTCGTAGACTTGAAAATGGGGGATCGGTAAAAAATGGGGAAGAAATTGATATCGATGATCTAGTAGCTGCCCAGCGGTCAAGTGGCTGTAGTGTTATTTCATTTTGTTGAATACGTAAGGTGAATACACTACATAATGACGTTGCATGATAGCCTTGCACAAGTAATATGCAGTCCGATCGACATGTATTTACGATTCTCATCAATCACAAACATTTAAAGTTTCATCCTCTACATATCAGCGATGCTTTCCTATTAACTTACATACCTTACATTTGCTGGGGCGCGGGCCATATCAGCAAATACCAATCTTCCATCACATTCTACCAAGAAGCGCGATCAGCGATTATGCACAGTACGGACCTTGGTCGCACAACACGTTTGGACCTCTAGAGTAAGGGATCAGTCCCTCCAGCCGCTAAAAGCGGGATAGCGTGGCATGGGGAGACTCGTTTTTATTGATGAGGGGGTGCGTGAGCCGGGCGGCTCGGTTCGCTAGCCCAGCACGTCATAACCCAGCTAGCGTTGTGCCATGGACCAAGAGACGTCAGAGCTGTACGGGGTCCAAAAGATCTTCAAGCTCGCTCAGACCAGTCGACGGGATGGCGAATTTGCCATGGGACTATACATCAAAACAAGCCCAAGAGGATGCTCAGCTCAATCCCACGCAATGGGACATATTCCTTGTAAAATCGCCGCCTAATTGCTCAGTTATGGAGAGCCTAACCGCGTCAAGAGAGTCACGCGTGAGATAACGAATAAACTGCGAGAGAAGGATCCAAATTTGAAGTTCAGGGACATAACAGAGAGCGTCAAGAAGGACTGCCTAGAAAATGTGAATAAGCAGATGGTAGAGCAAGGATGCCCTGAGGTGACGCGAGCAATTGTCGACTGGCGCGTCGCAAAGGCGTTAGCTATATCTAGAAGTCATGGTTTGTGCATACTGTCGCCCTTGCATAGTGCACACTAACAACTGTCAGCTAAAAACCTAGGCAAACAAAATAGCTCGCAGAGCGCTAGCAGCGCGGCAACGTTTTACGATCCTATTCGAGACAAGGACAGGCTGGTATAACCCGTGAAACGAAAGGTTCATTATCGCATACTACTACTATTAGCCCTATCGAATCGACATGGAATTTAGTGAAGATATGAAATCTAAATAGAAGCTACTCTAAACTACTTTAGAAACCTGGGCCTGTGTTTATCTAGGATTAGTTGGACAGAACAAGCTAGCTAAAGAATGCTAAATCTGAGTTCTCGACGTGTCTCCATGTTAAGAGTATGGCTTGAGTGGAAGTAATATTAGACTTCTAGTGTTAAGCTTCTTATTAGTTAGTTTTCGTGGTGTAATACGATACGTGATCGAGCTCAAAAGATCAAGGGGCGACCCGCAATCGAGATAGAATAGAGCTGAAATCTAACCTAGCCCCACGATGTTCTTCGGTTCTAGTTAGCATCCTGAGTGGTTTTTCGACTACTTCATTGTTCCTACTCGGGGAGAGATTCTTCCTATTTTTACTTGTAATAAGCTTGTGGCCTCTTGGGCTTCGCCATTTGAACGAGTGTGGGGAGTGCAGTACCCACAAGTTCTACTATGGTGGACGGTGGTGCGGATATCTTCCTTGGAGATGCTCGTATCGTTACGGGGAGAGGGCTAGCAAAGAGTAATAACAGCACACTATTCCTCTGAAACTTGAGGGATTGTATGTCTCTCTTATTGTATACGAAAAGTCTCTATCTTATACTCCATCGGTCAGACCGCAGTGTCAGCACAAGGGTCACTGGCGACCCTGTGCACTGGCACAGTATTAGCACTCGACCTTGTGTAACATAGGGCTCACGACAAGGCTACATAGATCATTTAGACCAACTGCTATGTTGCGGATGAAACTTATTAGTCTGCGCAATGACAAAAATTGCTTATCTGCAAATTCTAGAATATCTGAGTGACCATAGCCCGTAACAATTGATTCGCTTCAAATCCTAGTCAAACGCGCCCCGCCTTCACGCTAGTTTAAGTAAGCGCTAATCCGTTATCAGGAGGGTTTTGGGAGAAATAGTGGGGCTAGCATCATAAGTAGTTATTTCTTACGATCACTTTAGTTGAGTTGTAAATCATTCAATATCCAAGTAATTTAATTGTCAGATCAACGCTATGCTGAAACGGTAGGGGAAAATTGAGAAACCTTTTGATCAATGATGATGCAGCAGCACCGGAATGGCATAGCGGAATCCAATCATGCTTAAGCTAATGGAAATTTCCATAATCGAATGAGAGTTGGTGTGGAAGTTAAATACGGTACTGTTGCCTTGCAGTTTCAACATTTAACATGTTACGCAATATTCTCTAATCTTCAATCACCTATCGGAAGGCTCCTAAAGTTTTAAATTATTATAAAGAATTGCTGTTTCGCATAACCACAAAATCGATTTCAACTTCACCTCAAATAAAGATGACCAATACGACTACATCGTCGACCATTGACCCTAGCGTGAAGGCTGGTAATACCGCCCCTTCGCTAAAGCGCCTCGATGCTAAAGACCCGGCGACTACGTACGAGCGGGTGGTCGAGCTTGTGCGCTCAGATGGTGGAGTGGTCATCAAGAATCTCATATCCACTGAGCATGCGGCTCGTATTAAGGCAGAGCTGGCCCCAGTCTTTGCTGCCGATGTGCCTGATGCCTCAGGCTTCTTCCCCACTACCACACGCCGGGCTACAGGACTACTAGCAGCATCCGAGGGTTGCGTTGAACTTGCGACCAACCAGTTGTGGATAGATACTTGCAACGAAATATTGACCTCGAGATGTTCTCCCTGGTACGGTGAAAATCGGCGTACATTTTTCACGAAGCCTACTCTTGCTGGGACATTCGGATTTCAGATCCGGCCTGGCACGCACGCACAGGACCTGCACCGGGACGATAGTGATTATCACCTACCCAGTGGCCTCGACTCCTGTATGATGGGTCTACTTGTCGCCATCACTAGGTGTACCTACGAGAATGGTGCGACCATGGTCATCCCCAAATCCAATGTCTGGAGCTTAGATCGCGCACCGCGCACCGTCGAGGCAGTGCCAGTGGAACTTGAGATTGGCGACGCGCTTATCTTCCCTGGTAATACCTACCATGGGGGTGGTGCCAACAAAACTAAGTGAGTAGTGCAACATCATTTCTGACAGTTATAACTTCTTAGAATGAAAGATCACTGATACATTAACGCAGACATGAGATTCGTGAAGTCATTGGCCTTTTCATGTGCAAGGGATATCTAAAACCAGAGGAAAACCACCAGCTTGAAATTCCTGTCGAGGTCGCCAAGGAGAAGAATTTTTCCCCGCAAGTCCTGCGTCTGCTTAACTATGGTATAAGCCAACCAGCGCTAGGGCTTTACAAGTACAAGGACCCCATGTCTGTCATTTTTGGCATCAAAGATGCAGAGGTTGCAGATTTATAAGTTATTAAGGTCATCTTGTTAACTTAAAGGCTCTGGAATACGTCAAACTCGAGTTCGATTATGAGATTAGTAGAATGCAGTTATTACTCACATGCTCAGCTTTTCCAACCACCATGCACGGCAAGATCATAGTATTAGAAATCTTTGATGATCCTTCTTCCATAACTGAGCGTATTCAATCCAATTATGACATGCAACCTGAGCCCAAAAAGACCGCAGAAATTTAAGCATCTGCGGTCGATCAATCTCACAATACAACGTCATGATGGAATTCATCCGCTTCTCAAACCACAGGTGCGTAACTGGATCATGAGCGCTCACTGTTGCCAGTATGAACAAAGGCCATGGTTGCGATTGTGCGAGTGCATTAGGGTTGTTGAGAGATAGCAGCGAGTCAAGAAGGTGGATGCGCAGTCTGAGAAGCGTTGCTTGATCAGGACAGGCGCACAAGCCTTCATTCAACGTTGGCACCGGGGCGGATAGGGCCTGGTGGCAGTATATCTGCGTCGCATGATAGTACGCAGTAATTATAAGCTTCAAATCGTGGTCGTTCACACTTGCCGTTTTGGTCGATTCTCGGAGGGCTGTTTCATAGGCTTGCTCCAGATTAATTAGTGCTTGTTGTAGAGTCGTGCAAAGAACGGCATGCTGCTTTCCAGGCTCTAAACCTCGTATTCCTATGTCTATTCTTGCCTGAATCACACGGCGTATGATGATAACGAAAGCTATGAAAGGAGAATGGCCTTTGATATCTTGTCCAACATGGCTCTTACTGTACAATTCCTGGATCGTAGATATCTCATTCGTTGGACAGTTAGTCAGTAGAGGCCATGTACTAGCGGCGAACAGTTCTTCGGAGAGAAAAACATTTGTGGCGTCACCAGTGGCTGTGAATTGCAACATGCTGCTAATGCTTTGTGCAGTTCGGAGATGAAAATGCCACATACCGTTAGATGGCCAGTGAACCTCGAGGTATGAAAGGAGCAGCACACTGGCAATAACTTGTTGAATTAGTAGTTGTGGAGGTGGTGTGCCCAGTTGCAGTGCGCCTCGCAATACCCGTAGATCCTTAGACAGAAGGCGGAAGGTATTTGTGCGTAAAGAATCCATGATACGAAGGTATAAATCACGCTGAGGATCGCCTTCAGCAAGGCGAGAAGCAACATTGCTTGCGGATACCCCTAGTATAGCTGATAACAGGGAGCATAATGATGTAGAAGGACCAGGCGATTCCAAAGCCATGGGCAGAATGATACTTCGCCATGGATTAGATTCTCCTTCAAACCACGCGAGCTGTACGGACACGACATCTGCAAAGTGTTGCAGTAGGAGGCTTTCCGTGCCGAGTATCGGTACTGATGACAATAGACTAGGTAGTTGTTTATGTTCATATGGTACCACGTGTGACAGATATGATGGGGTTACTGGCTGTAATACGATGGGAGTGTCCGCAGCTTGGCGGGAGTGATGAGGGGCCGGGGTTGTGCGAAAATGGAGCCTGTTTGGCCCTTTGCTGGCGGGCCCGCAAATCCACCTGAGGGTCTTCCCGTATCCTGGACAGTGCAAGCCGCGAGAGATACATTTCTCACAAGCTGGCTGAGCTCCGTCACATCTTATACGGCGTCTACTGCACACTCTACATCCCGGTACCGCCGACTGTTTGGTTTTACGTGCTGCGGAAGATTGATTGGGAACGTCCGGCATGATAGTTAGCTATTTGCCGAGAGACTATAGCGACTAATGATGTGTTACAAGTAACAAGAAGGATTCTCTTCTTAATCAAGGATGGAAGGCTAAGGACCTATGAACGTCCACGTCAGAACATAATGATTAACGCGGGGCGCTGATCACGTGACTTAGTATCCCGCTAAGGCAAAGCCTTCGGAAGGCCACGGCATAAGAGAAGGCTAACGTTCTCCTAAATATCCCGCTAAAATAGAGGGCTAGAGAGGGTAGAACTACACAATATACTAAACGGAACTATAGTCTAAACAGAATTGCAGTTAAATAGCGCGTTTTACCCCTGCCCATCTATTGTTACACGGGGTTGGGTGCTGATACTTCTCTAAGCTCAATCCGGGTTAGGGCGAGTAGGATAAGGTGAATAGCTCCGTAAGGTAGTTATCTAGCGATATAGTGGAGTGGTGTGCTTAGCGTGGTAAGTTGGGTCTCCACCTCGGGATCGTTTTTCTTAATTTACTCTACCAATACTTACCCAATCAGGAAGTTTAGTAGCTCATTTTGTAGCCCTTAATCTAAGTTTTATTTCTGTCTAATATAGTAATAGGATAACTCTGATAGGTAAGAAGTTATTAGCCTACCCACCCTGCCAAGAGTTGGGTCTCCACATTTTACTCCGATCTTAAATATCTCCTTATAGAGTATAGCTAGCGTATTACTTTAATATAGCAAGATAAAGCCCCAATAGAGAGCTTTAAAATAAGCTACTAAACTTCCTAATCGGGTAAGTATTGGTGGAGATAATAGCGTTTTTAAGATCCCGATGTGGAGACCCAATGACCAGCCTAGGTGTGCTTATAAGATAGATAATAGTTAATAGGTTTAATAATTCCTACTATATACTAAATAGACTAATAAGTATTAATCTTATAAGGTCAAGTAATTAGCAAGAAAGTATAATTTAAGTAAACTATAATAAAAGTAATTATAAAATCTATCTATTCTTAAATCTTTATTACTTCTAGTTTTGCTGTCTTATCTATCTGTCCTTAGTAAGATAATATATCACGTAACTCTAAGCTCTATAATAATTATTAACTTCTAATATAGGCGTCTATAGGCCTTTAGCTGTCTCATTATCTATTAAGAAGAGAATTCTTCTTGTTACTTGTAACACTATGCTGGTTGTGGTAAGCGCAATGCGGTGGTCTGCTCCACCTGCCTGCTTTGATTCACGTCCACATCCACAAACAAACGGCAGGCCTGGCATCAGTGTCAACAGAAGTAATCGTGGTGATCTTTACAGCTTTGCAGTAGCACAATCAATCATACGGGGTGTAGTTGAGGCCTAGTTGTAGATGCTGAGCATGCATAACGCATACAATGAAAATAAAATCAAAGGTGACAGCAAAGATGGCGAGCTATGGCTACGCACCAACCCCTATATTACCTATTTTTCTTACCCTACAGCTCAGAAAGCGGAATAAAAAAGCTCAAGGTTGAGACGCTGGAGAGCCAGAAAGGGAAGCCGTGCCTAGTAGCAGCTGCCTCAGCCGTGCGCCCTTGAGGTCATCAAAACACTCTACTCGCCGCTCACCCTTTCCGCCAAGCCACCTGCACCAGAGCCTCTCTTAACCTTGATATCGATATCACAAGGCTGTCGACCCTCACCATGCACATCCATTATTGGGCTGAAAAGCGCTTACCACAATGACGCAACCCATTAAACACGCTTGAACCGTCGAATGCCAACGCTATATGTTCTGCAATTAATATCCTTTGGTGCTTTAATCGTCGTCGATACAGAGCTTTAAACACACTTCCTCTTTTTCCTCCGTGGCAAAAAGCTCGCGTTTAACTGCCCAATCGCCGACCTCCCAGCCTCGTTACCCCATGCATACCCAAGGCTGAGCATCCTCTCCTTGACCCCTACCTCTGTGTTGGCAAATCCTGCCCCGCTCTTGTCTCTGCCAATTTGCCAGCCTAGAGACCCCTGACGTTCGCTGAACAGTACTAATACAAACAGGCTGGCTTTTACCATTCTGGTGCTGTGCACCTCTATATCACGGCCGGGACGGCCACCAAAAGGGACAGGGTATCAAAACAGTATGGTACAAGTGTTACTATCTTGGAACTGTAGGAGGTGAGGCTAAGTACAGAATCCCACCCAAGGCGCTACAACCAAACGGGGTAAGTAAGCCCTGGCAATGGCAGCGCCATAACACTCTACCGGTGAACCATCTGTGTCACGTTAGTGGTTTACAGATATGCCAACACAACCACAACACAGTTTTGCTGCAGCCACTCGCAAAATGCCAACTCAATTACAACACAGTCTTGCTGCAGCCATATGCAGGGCTGAGGTAAAGGGCTTTTGGACGTCGATATTCATCACAAAGTTGAGTTACTCTTCCATACTGAAGACAATACTTTTTTACAACAATCCTACTCCCATTACACTCTTCAACATGGAATATCAACCACTGGATCAGACCAAAGATGAGATAAGATTACTCACCATCTTGCAAGGTGATGTTTTCGCACCAGATCTTGGTCACTTTCAGCCACGTTTGCAGCCTGACAATCTGCATTGTGAACTCTCTCACCATCCGCTCAAAGACTGCTCTTCACGTGGCATGGACAGAAGCAAGTTGCCGTTCCTCGCGCTCAGCTATACTTGGGGAAACCCGCGCGACCGACAGACAATCTACGCCAATGGTACAAGAATTTCGGTTGGGAAGAATCTCGCAAAGTGTTTGCAAGCATTGAAAGAACTCGAGTGCGTGAAAATAGGTTACAAGATATGGGCCGACGCGATATGCATCAATCAAAAAGATTCAACGGAACGCAGTCGTGAGGTCAAGAAAATGGCAGGATTATACAAATCTGCCAGCAATGTTGCCATCTGGTTAGGAGAGTCAGATGCTGAAAGCGACGAAACATTCGACTTCATCAACGCTATCACAGCTGCTGCAAAAAAAGGACCTGAAGTTGTAAAGCAGTACCTCTCTACTGTTCTCGATAGCTCTCACGAGTTCAGCCTATGGAAGAGTATGACAAGTCTGTTGTCAAGGCCATATTTTGGGCGACTATGGATCATCCAAGAAATGGCAGCAGGCGGGGAAGACAGTCTGGTTTTATGCGGAGACAAAACAACAACATGGGGGGCTTTGTACAATGTGTACCATGATCTCCGTCTTTGCGATACTCAGACTGGGGATTCAGAGCTTGCGTTGATCTTCCGAGCGAGTCTGGAGCTGTATCCGGCAGCATACAAAGCTTACCGGGACGTGCCCTTCTACATCTGGAAACAAGTGGAGGACTTTCAGACCTTGCAGAATAACCAACGAGGAGGCGTTTCTAAACACAGTCGGCGGTTGTTATCGCGCTGTCGCATGGCAAATTGTACCAACAATTGGGATCGGGTTTATGGTATTCTAGGGCTGCTCGAACCACACCTGGCTTTAAAGATCCAAGTCAATTACGAAGCTAGTATTTCGGACGTCTACACAAGCTTCACAAGAACTTGGATTGAGCATACCGGGAAGCTGGAAATCCTGGCTGAGTGTGGTGAATCTGGCGAACATTATTTACGTGACGACACGATACCATCCTGGGCCGTGGATCTGAAACAAACAATCAAAAGCTTGGTAAGTAACTATCACCAGCGCTATCGAGCATCTCTCAATCTCTCGATGAGTTATCAGTTTAATGGGACATCCCTTCTAGTAAGAGGGGTTGTGTTTGGTGAGATTGATGGCGTTAGTGGAGTGCGTTATTGGGAAGACGAGAAAGACGAGCCCGACTTTGTGAACCCGCAATGTTATACAAATCCCTACGGCGACGACGAAGCCTTTACGGAAGCTCTGTGGTATACTCTGGTCGGCGGTCGTGATGCCCAGGGTTACCCAGCCTCCGATGCTCTTGCCTGCATCTTGGATGACACAATTCTTGATCCTGATTGTGCACTTCCTTTTGAATACGCCAAAGGAGACACGGATGCATCTTTGTGGTGGCACATGCATCTCTGGTGGAAACGGAATGCCGAATTCAACATCAACGGCAGACCGTTAAAGCGGCACTTAAAACACATGGATGTCCGTCGACGCGATTCAAGATGTTACTTCGATGCTCTGGCCCGAATGTCGAGATTTTTTTGGTCGAGGCGCTTGATCGTCACCAAAACCGGTCATCTCGGGGTTGCATCTAGGCCTGTTCGCCGAGGCGATCTTATCGTAATCATTGGAGGGTGTAGTGTACCGCTCACCCTGAGAGTAAAGTCATCGCTTGGTGGAGAATGTGGTCCAACTTTTGAGATCTTGGGAGAGTGCTTCATTTACGGGTTCATGAACGGCGAGATCTCACAAAGCGTGAACACAGGCTTACACGCCATGCAAGACCTGACTCTAATATAATGTCAGTATTTAGATGTCTAGATCTGAATAGAACGTCCCGGGAATATCTAAAATGGTGAGAGACTCTGATTTCTGGTAGGATATAGCTTGAGTGTGAGCTTTGTGAATAATGTGACACTAATCGGGTGCCTTGGGACAATCTAGCTGTGCATGAGAAACAAGAAAGCAAGCGCGACGATAGCTTGTGAAACTTACACCCGTTTACATAGTCTTAAGGGTTGCAAATGAATTGGAGGGCTGTGCATGTTCGCGAAGCATTTCCACGCTACTGTAATGATCTAACACGCTGTAAGATGTTCCAGACATGCTCTTGAGATACAATATCGCCAAATTTGACTTTCAAGGTCGTACCAAGAGACATTTCAGCGGTGGTGATGACAATGATGATACAGATGCCCCGGCGTAGGCCAAAACCGTAAGAGACCCCAGCATCTCCAAGGCTGGAAGTGAATGACTCCCTCACGTGACGCCAGCGCGTTAATGGCGTGTGGCCAACGTCTCTGCGGCTCGGCTACAGCGCGCCTTATAGGGACTAGATTAGATAGAAGAACACGGCATGAATCAATCTCTATTACCTCCTTCAGCTGATTGGCTCTAAGAAATTCTACACAATCCTTGCCAAAACTAACCGCTCGGCCTAAAACACAACGCGTAAATAGCCCCAGTAGATATACGCATCTAAATTTACCTACCCCTCACTCTCAGCGGGGGACGCCAAAGACCTCCACTCAGCACGCTAAACCCCAACCGTCCAGGGTCTTCTTGGCACCGAACGTCACATCTTGGTTCATTCATGCATCCAGTCCTGTGGCTAAACCCTCAATCCAAACCACATCCCCCTGCGAAACCCTCCCTCCCTCCAAGTCTGCCTGAAACTAAACCTTGCCTCCATCTTCCACGTGCCTCCGTAGGAACCCTGACGAAACCCTCACAAACGTCCAACACCACTTTGAACCCGACCCAGCCCGACCAGCCAGCACACGAGCACTCCCCGTCCCATAAGCCCACAATGTCCGCCTACGAACGCGAACAACAAAACGACTCGCGCCTCGATGAACTCGCATCCAAAGTCTCTGCGCTACGCGGTATAACAGTGGATATATACGACAGCGCACGCGACCAGCATGTTCTCGACAACACTGTACGTTCCCCATTCCTACACCTACTCCTATCCTGCCTTCCTCCACGCCCATCTCCCTTCTACGCCTTCGCATCCCAAAATGTGAATAATCACTGACATGTCTTTTTCAATATACAGAACGAAACCTTCTCCAACATGGCCACATCCCTCAAAGGCTCAGCAAGTCGACTGACGCGCATGGCGGCGTCAGGGAATAAAGTAGCGATATTCAAGCTGAGCGGCATGATTGTGGCGGCGTTTGTCGTGCTGTATTGGATTTTCCATTTGATCTTCTGAGCGGAATGCGAATACGGATGCGACAAAGCGAAGTTGGTTGGGTGAGGGGAGAAGATGAAAGGATGGGCGGGGCATTGAAGAGGTGGAAGAAGGATATAGTATCGTATACGTCCATATACGAGGTTTGGGGCGATAGGATGTGTCGGTGCGAATGGCTGGTTGGGAGTAATTATGCATTTCGCACGCACGACTAGGGGATCGAGTTGAGCATAGAAAAGGAGGGTCGAGATGAGGGCGAGGGCAAAGGGGAGCATGATTCATCATGCTTGTTGATTTTCTGTTATTGGGACGGGGACATGGAACATGTCAGTCAATCCCTTGCATATGCGGCGTTCATGGCTGCAAGGGAAAGCGATCGGAGCATTTCATTTTTTTTGATATGCAAGTTCAAAAGATTTCTATAAGCAATTATGTATGCCATGCATATTACGCTCTCGATTCGGCATTAATTTTCAAATCGTGAGTGCAATAGCTCGTACAAACTTCTCAGTATATGACAATTTACTCCCAAACATTGGAGAACAAATCATCGCTCGTGCCACCAAATCCTCCTGCAGGCTTACTTTGGGTAGTGGTAGTGTTGGACGTCGTGGTGGGCGCGGCACTGCTCCAACCTCCAAAGTCGTCGTCCTGTGTCACTTTAGGTGCACTCCAGCTAGTTGTTGTTGCTTGGGCCGTGGTAGTGGTTGCTGCAGGCTGGCTAGGCGCGGACGATCCCCAGACATCATTACCACCCCAGGCATCCATGTTTGAAAACCCTGAATAGTTGACTGCTGGTGCAGCGGGCGTGGACTTTGTAGCAGGAGCAGGCGCGGGTGAAGAGAGGTTGAATGCCGAGTTGATAGGCGGCGATGCTATTGGTGGAGAGGTGACTTGTGGTGCAGGCGCGGAAGGCATGGAGAGATCGAGGAGGTCGGCCATACCAGACGCCGCCGGAGCTGCAGGCTTGGATGGCGCGGGCGAAGAAAAGGCACTGAAGTTGCTTACTCCTCCAGCAGGGCTCATGGTACGACTCTGTGGAGCAGGCTTTGAGTCGAAAAAGTTGCCACCGCCGCCAAACATGTTGGAAGACGACGACGACGCGGGTGGTGATTTTTTGCTTGAGAAGCTATCCAGACCAGAAAATGGTGAAGGCTTGGGGGCGGGGGCAGCGTTGAAAGACAAGCTGCTGAATGCATCGTTCATACCGCCAAACGATGACTGCTGTGGTGATGCCTGTCCCTGGGACGACACGAGTCCACCGAAAGAGTCTTGACGAGCATGCTGTTGTGGCTGAGGCGCTGCCGCGGGCTTTGCAGCATACAGAGACAAGATCGACTGCTTGAGATCTGGTCTTGAGGGCGCTGGCGCAGCAGCAGGACCTGTGCTGGATGGACGAGCAGGTGCAGCAGAAGATCCTCCCCCTAGAAAGTCAAGGCCCAACAATGAATCTCCTGCTTTGTGCTGTTTCGGGGGCGCTGGTTCTGCCTTTGGAGGCGGTCGTGCAGCAGCTGGCGGTCCAGTGCTCGGTCGCTCGGGAACTGGATCATCTCCAAAAAGGTCGATAACAGGCTGCTGTTGTGCTTGTCGCTGAGGGGGCGGGGCACGGCCGGATCCTTGTGCCAGGCGTTGCGAGGCTGAGCGTTCTATTTGTACCTTCTCCTGCACCTTACTCAATGGCTAGGATTGCTGTTAGTCTTTGTCTTCAAGGTGGCTTGCGCATACTAACCATATCATCATCGTCACTGTCCAGAGTGGAAGGATCCGGCATGGGCCCATCCATGACCCAGCGCTTCGATTCATACTTTGTACGGATAAAGTTCTCAATCTTGGCCTCGGATGGAACGTGGCCAGGTGCCAATTTCGACTCCCAGTATTTGTTGGCTCGCGCATTTCCCCATTTCAATACACTCTCAAGTTGTTCATCAGTCCAGGTATCTAGGTCAACCGACTTGACCCTGCTGATATGTGTTCCCATGCCGCGGTGTATGCCCGAACATCGAATGCATATGAAGACGCCTAGATTCCAGCTTGCCCATCGTGGGTCTGCGAGAGTGTTAGCGGGCGCAGGGCACAATGGCACACGGTTCTTACGCTTGTTCCGTTTGCAGTCTGAGCATGTCTTGTTGCCTTCGAGCTTTACCAAGTTCTTTAGTGTGGCGCGATTCTGCTCCGCCCGGTCGGCGGCAGGGTTGGGCCGTCGTGACATTGTGGGGTAGGTGGTTGTGTGCGGAGACTAGGTGCGTATTGCGGAATCGTAGAGTCGGCGCGTGGTAGGGTGGAAGAAAAGCAGTATCTCGCGAGTGCACGTGTCAATGTCGAGGAGGGTGGTTGAGTGGGGATTGGGCTGTTTCATTCGTGCCTGAAGCGTTTGGTGTGCCCTAACAATGACGCTCGGCTTGGCACCGCATGCCACCACCCCTCCTATGTGACCAGAATTACTTGTATACCCTCTGCCTATGAGTACCACATTTTGAGCAGTAACTGGTTGCTGGGCGATCCACATATTGAATCATGGGCGAATTGGTCATAACAGGGACTGCCCTGTTAGAAAGAAGTCATTGGATTAGTGCTTGTAAACGCCTGCCCCGGGTATCGCCAATGTGGTATGCTATACTATAATACATGCGCTGACCGCTAATTACTTTACTTTGCTGACTACACACAGCAACAATGCTTATGCGGGGCGGAACCGCCAGTCGTCCCAGTCCTCATCCTCCGACTCGCTTTCTTCGTCTTCTTCATTCTGAGGGGCTGTCGGCTCTTGGTTTGGTACATCACCTGGCCGTCCAGACACCGTCCGCAATGCCTCTCTCTGCTCCCGTAACCTCTTGACCCTCTCCTCGAGTCCTTCCATCTCTTCAAACTCGTCCTCGAGGGCCCGCGCAGCATCTTCCTTCTCTCCTTCCATTTCTTCGTCTCTCTTGGCGCGTTGTGCACTTTGTTCTTCTCGTACTTGGGCGGCGAGCTGGGCAGCTGTCATGGGTGCTGCTTCTATGACGGCACCTGAATAGGCGGACTTGGCCGGCTGTGGGGTCGGCTTCTCTGTGCTCATCTCGGTCATGAAGGCGTCCAGCTCTGCTTGTGCCGCAGCGTCCAGCGGCGGGTCTACAGGCGTCGGAGGCTCTGGGGGTGGAATGTCTGCCACTACCGGGCTCTCTTCTACTGGGCCAGGCGCGACTGGGTCATTGTCGTCGTCGTCATTTGTCGCGCCCGCATCGAAGAAACCGGCCGGAACGCCCGCCTCCTCCTCGGTTCGCGTACGCTTCTTCTCCTCTCCGCCCTGGTCAGGAGCCTTCCGCTTCTTCGCTGTTGGTGCTGCTGCGGGTGCCTGAGACTGTTTTTGGGGCTTCTGGGCTTGCTGGCGTGCTGCACGTTGTTGTCGCAAGAGGGTTCGGGCGTCGGCCATTGTTTGCCGGGGGTTTGTTGCAGAGTCTACGGTGGCAGATGAAGCAGTCGGATTGCTATCAATCGGCGTGGTTTGGTACAGTCCTGTCGCGCTTCAACAAAACAGCTTGTCCAGCTTGTCCAGCCACGCAAAGGGTCCAGGTTGTTACTAGTGGCTGGGATTACGGCAGCCAAGACGTCGGCAAAACGCAGCGTCCAAGCTCCACTCCACTGTCTCCTCACTGACACCACCCATCCCGACACCACACGACACACCGCGCCTCTGTCCGGCAATCCATTCACCATCTCCTGCTGCCTCATACTGCGCTCAGATACAAGCGCATACACCAGGGGCATCTTCCCATCCACCATTGTCGTCTCTGTCGCGCCGGTTGCTGGTGCGCCGTCGGCTCCGTCCACGGGAGACACGCGCACGAGAAAGCTGCGACTCATATTCGGCAGGCTCGTCTCGCATCGCGGCTCCAGTCTGTACAAGCAGGCGGGATACTTGTTGCTCTCTCTTTGACTAGTTAGTAGCCGGCTCGTACGGCGTGTCCGCTGGCCCGCCACGCCACGCGCAGGGCAGGATTGGGGCTTCCGTAGAGACTTTTTCTTTGAATCTTGTTGCGCACATAGCATAAGCTGCATTCGTGGTATCGTCTATTCTTTGAAGCCCATCACCCGTGTCCACCACCATGTCCGGTAAGCAGACACCATCTACACGCGCCCGTACCAGCTCCTCGTCGCGCACCCCGCACACCGCACGCGCGTGCACAACAGCCTCTGAGCTGCATGCTCATGCCAATGCTCATGCCGATGCTGATGCTGATACCGCTGCCACAGATGAAATCAGGCGCTCCGGCCGCGCCAACAAAGGCCACCATACAAAGAACCAAGACGCGCTCGACGAGCCCGCTGCTGCCGCTCCCGCTGCTCCTGCTACTCCTGCTGCTGCTCCTGTAGCCGCCCCAAAGTCAAAGGCAACCCCAGCGACTGAGAAGAAAGGACAAGCCCATAGCAAGAAAGGAAATGCAAAGGGTCCCTCTCAGCGCGCTCGGTCGACGCAATCGGCCGACGCAGATGAAGAGGACGACGATGAGGAAGAGGAGGACGCCATCATCCGCTGTGTGTGCGGTGACCAGCGCGACATTCGCGGACGGCAAATGATCTGTTGCGACAGCTGTACAGCCTGGCAACACAACAAGTGTCTGGGCCTACCCGAGGGCGATTTCTGGGAGGGTAAAGACTACTACTGCGAGCAATGCAAACCCGAAGACCATGTTGAATTGTTGGCTGCCATGGCCCGTGGCGAGAGGCCGTGGGCGCGCAAGAAGGGCTCCAAACCCAAGCCTCGCGCCAGCGACGTCAAGCCGGATGCCCGATCTGAGAAGGCAGTGACACCCCAACAGTCTACGCCCTCACAACCTCCAGCAGCTCCTGTCGAAGCCACTACTCCCACTCCCGCTCCCATCACAGTGCCCACCCCAGAAGCTTCCAACGGCCATGCTGAACCAAAGGTACACTCTCTTGGTGCCATTGTTATAATCTCCGCTCACAAACACAAGCAGGGCACCAAAAGTCAGCCGCAGTCGCCTCTCGGTGAGAAGCGCCGCCATGACGCGGCCTCAGAAAAGGCCAACGCAAGTAAGAAGCGCAGAAAGTCGAGCCATCATGAAACCAAGACGGAGCCGCAAGACGGATTGGCCACGGACATTGACGCCCTTCCTCAGAACCAGAAGGCTGTTGCGGAGAAGCTATGCGAAACCCTGGCACCCTTGATTACTTCCGCCTCGGACACCCGGGGATACCGCATCCCAGACGGCGAGACTGCCAAGTCTCTTGCTTCCAAGTATACCCTTCAAATGTGCCATGCTGCTTTCAACTTGTATGGTGAGCCTACCGGCGGGTCTTCGCCATACTTTGGCAAGATGCGCACTATCATGTTCAATGTTAAGAAGAACACCGTTCTTGTGGATCGTCTGCTGTCAGGAAGTCTCAAGGCCGAGGACCTCGTGAGCATGGAAGCCGAGGAAATGGCAAGTGAAGACAAGCAACGCGAGTACGCGGCCATGCGAGAAGCGGCTGAGAAGCAAATGATTCTGACCGAAGAGACCGGGCCTCGGCTGCGCAAGACACACAAGGGCGAGGAGATTGTCGGTGAAGATAACTTTGAGAATGATGATTTCAAGGAGCCCACTCAACGGGAGCGGGACAGTATCACGGAAGATGCAGCGGTGCATTCACCCGTTGCCGTACCCCCATCCGAGAGCCCTGCCGCGCCAAGAACGTCCGAGGCGGAAACACCCCAGCACGACGGCTTGCGACGAGCATCGACCAATTTTGATATTAACTCTGTCTTCGATAAGGTCCGCTCACCTCAGCACGACCAGCAAACCTTCCTCCACCGCCGCCGCAGCTCCATGCACACACAAGACAAGCCTCAAAGTGCTGTGGATGATGCAGACGTTGACCGACTGCTCAAGGATGAAGACAACGATGTGGAGATGTCAGGCTATTCCTCCGATCCAACAGTCTGCTGGCATGGCTCCATCAACATGCAGTCTATGGAACCGTTTGATGCTGTTGCCCGATTCGTCGCAGGCGGCGACTTTGGCCAAGTCGTACCCTGGGAAAAGCTTCTAACCCACATTGTGGCGATCCAAGGACGTATCGAGAGTTCCAAAGGAAATGATTATATCCAGAGCATCGGACACACGGAGAGCCATGAAGTTTCTATTCTCGCCGTTAGCCCCGTCACCACTGAAGGACGCACAGTCATGGACCATCTCTACGAATACTTCCACTCGCGTGGCAGGTGGGGTGTAGTACCTGTCGAAGGCAACGACATACTTCGAGATCTTTATGTGATTCCAATTGAGGAGGGCGGAAGCAACCTTCCTCCCTTTATCGACATGCTGGAGTACTGCACCATTGAGACACCCCGCAAGGAAAATATGCTGTTATTGGCCCTCGTAGCCAAGCTACCAGAGCTCAAGCCCCAACATCCGCCAACTGAACATTTTGAGCGATACCCAGCTCATGAGGCTGCGACTGGTCCAATTGCGCAGCCCGCTTTTGGCGGCGGCCCCAGTCCATCACCGATGACCAATCCTCACGCGCCGCAATTCTCACCGGTCAGCGCAGCCTACCCGCAGTATGGCAACCCATTCGCACCACCACAGGCAAACATGGTGCCCAACCCACAACCTCCGATGCCCATGCATACACCACCACACCACCAGATTCCGAAAGCACTCGAGATTCTCGGTCCCTATATTGACGCACCTGTTATTGTTACTATCCTCACTTCAAACCTGTCACAGAACGCAGTCGTTTCAGAATTGCAAATGATCAACCTGAGGCATATTGTTGAAACTGTGCCAGAAGCGCGGGACAACATTGCCGTGTTGACGAATCACCTGCAATCCAAGACTGAGGCAAATCGCCAACAACAGCACGCCCAGCCATCAGGGCCTTTGTAGGACAGAAAGTCTACGCAGGTGTCATGAATTTTACGGAAATACACACGCGCTGAGCGTTCGAGTGTATAGCGTATCGCATGTAACAAGGGAAGGGGAGCAGTTTATCAAAGGTAGCCGGCGCTTTGGGTGGTAAACATCTCTATTGAGTTTCGTTCAGGATCAGCCCTGTGTGGCGTTCTGTGGCGGCGGCGATGAGAGTGGGCGGGCTTTTCATGACTTCATCGATATATTTTGTTGATACCCATACGTGGTGTTTTTTGTTGTTCGCTCCTTTTTTTGATTATAAAAATGGGTTTCCGGTTCACTTGTAGCTTTTTATCGGCATGTCCACTCTTCCACTGCCATGACTCTTTGCAAGTGGGGGGACTTTTTCTCATGTGAAATGATGCGGGTTCGTTGCTGGTCGGAAAAGATTTCAAATAGTTTTCGTCCGTTGCGTTTGTTGGTGTGATATTAACACGACAAGTCGCAGTCTTGGCTTTCGCACGACCCGGTTATTATATTCTACACTAGAACGGCAAGTCCCGTGTTGAATTGGGTCCAGATCTCGACAGCGATCTAAGATCTACATAGATTCCCGGACAAATGCCCGACTCGACAGAACGTGTAGAAAATACGAGTCAGAATGAGAACCCGATCGGAACTCAATGATCATCATGATCCCTTTTGCTTTGTTATCCCTATCTCCCGTAGCAAAAAAGCGTCTCGTTCGCCGACTAAGTATTTTCCGCTTCAAAGTGGTCCTAGACCCGCCCCTCCCACGTGGGATGCGCATTCGTAAAGTTTACTTGGAAAACGATCGAATCCGATCCCCTTTTTAAAACTTTTGCTTTTCCCTTACTACCAATCACCAACCAACAGATACACTTTGGCCCCTACGCCTCTTGCTAGCTACCATATTTTTTTGGTCATTCCCGGATCTTGTTATTCCCACAGACTTGGCTCGCCACGTGGCAAAATCTAGGATCCAAAAAAGTCTAAAGACTTATCTAACCCTGACACAAAAATAATGCGAATAAGAATGCGAAGAAAGAGGTGGAAAAAAAGCACAGTCCAGCAATGAATGCCGAGTTGCTTACCGCTACTTTGACCTTACAACCATATATGGGGTTATCCATGCGCGGGAGATGCCGAAAGAGAGAAAGAGAGAAATACGTGTGAAGAGACCGAATGCGAAGCAGAATGCGACTAACCTGATTCGCTTGCCATGGGAGTGTTGTAGTGTAGTGTGCCAGTTACCCAAATGCGGAATGTGGAGCGCCCTCCCCCCCCCCCCCCCCCAAAGAAATGTTTGGGGGTTACTTCACAACACAGCTCCAAGAAACACAAGTTAGTGAGACGAAAGAAATAAAAGCTTTCCTCGCATAAACATGTACATGCACTTTTGGTGGGTGGGGGGGGAGGGGGGGGGCAGAAATCATAGAGTTAGGCTAGAAGCTTAAGGTTAAAATGAAAAATGGCGCCAAAATAAGATAGCTCAGTGAATCAATGGTACGCTTTTTGGGGGGTTAAGTAGAATATCACATTTTTTAACCTTAATCTGGTAATTCCAAGTTTTACTCGATGCGGTATTTGGGTCAGACTAAGAAAAAAAAGAGGGTAGTACGACGTTACATTCCCACGCAACGCCGGGTTGTCGGACTAAGGCGGTACACTAATGATGCGAATACGAGGACTGGGATCGATGGGTGAATGTTAAGATGAGGGAAAGATACCGCATGGGGAAAGTATGTGGCTGGTGGGAGATTGCAGGAGAGGGAGACAGGTGTGGCGGTAGGGTCGACGGGAGCGAGGGTGGGTGGAGATGAAGGAGGTACCTGGTGAGGTAAGTGGTGGTGTGTATGAGGTGAGCTAGTGTATGCATGTGAATGAGAATGCGAGACAGTGATCGATGGATGTACGTAGGGGAGATGAAGGACTGCCCTTTGCGGCAAGTTTTCTTGTAGACGATACGTACGAAAGCGAACGGGCGTGCTGAGGTTGGGGGGAAGTACGACGAGGCTAGTGGCTGTCTGGAATGAGAATGCGAGACAGTATTCGACGGAAATGTGTAGGGAGATGAAAGACTGCCTGTTGTGGCAGTTTCCTTGGTGTACATCTGCTGGAATGCGAAATGCACGTGCTGACGTGGAGAGATAGACGCACGTGGATGAGAGAGATACAAGCACCAGCGATCGGCTGTACGTAAAAGAGAAAGCGAGGCAGTAATCGATGGAACATAAGTAGTGAGATGAAGGACTGCCGTATGCAGTAGTCATCGTCTCTGGATCGATGCGAAAGCCAATTAGAATTTTGCACTGTAGTGATACGCACATGGATTAGAAAGATACAAGCACCAGCTGGTGATCGTTGCGTGAAAGAGAATGCGAGTACAGTAATCAACGAGAGACGTGTGAGAATGCAAAAACTGCTGCATGCGGCAGCTGTGACGTGTAAGCCAACGGTATCAGAGCGAGATGAACGTGCTGAACTGTAAGGGATAGTATACGCACGTGGATTAGAGATGTTTGACCACAATTTAGCGGCTATCCATGAAAGAGAATGCGAGTGCAGTAATCAACAGTAAATGGGTAGGACGACGTACACACTACCGCATACGGTAGTCATCTCGAATGCAATGATACAAAAGCGAGCTGGGCTTTCTGGACTGTAGGGATAACCCCACGTGGGACTAGAGAGATACACGTACGCCCAGACTAGTGGCTTTCTGTGAATGAGAACCCGAGTACAGTGTTCCACGACAAAAAGACATGGACTACCTTTTACGGCAGTCATCTCGCATACGCACTAGCTAGGATCCATGCGTGAAAGAGAATGCGAGTGCAGTATTCAACGGAAGACATGTAGTACGACAAAGACCTACTGTATGTAGTAACCGTCATGCGTAAAAGACACCAAGATACGAAGGTCCAGGAATGCGAATGCGAGCGCAGTGATCGATGGATGTTTGCTGTATTACTACATGCTGACTTTATGGAATAAACGGGATAGTCGGTAGTGATATTTATTATGTAAGGACACGGGTTTGGATACAAAGAGAGGACGCGTTGTACTAAGATCTACGGTAGTACCATTTCCAAATATTGACATTTAACCGTATTGCGTCCAGACAATTTCTATCATGATAGCTGAGACATTTTGGAATTTCAGAAGCAACATCTCCGAAAATTTCTTCTGTCGATTCAAATGTGCAGTCAAATATTTTACCTACTTCCATATATCATGATGTTGTATTGTAGCCAACTTGCATACCAAAATATCTATACAAAAGGTGGGGCAAGAAGTCGGAGAAAAAAGAGTCAAGGATGGGCCCTGCAACAGCATTGTAGGTAATTGGTAGCATGTAGGACCACGAAATGGCCCCCTCGCAGACGTGCCACGTCAGGAAGCTGACGACTATGCAGAAGCGAATGCGAAAGAGAATGCGACCACACGTTGCAGAATAAATCATGTGGAAATCATTCCAATCAAATACATCGAATGGAATACTCGCCTTGTAAACAGTTTCTATCCTTTGAATTTCAACTGAAACGCATTTGGTCGCTGTAAGTAAATTAGGTTGCTAGCCTATCTGCTGGTGGCGGCGTCGCACAACCTAAAGACTTTAGTAGTCCACAAAGTATCACGGCAAATCTCTTTTCTTGAAAGGGTATCCTTGACTTTCAGTCGGCAGGCCAAACTATTTTCATTTCCACAATACGTACACCTAGCAATTTGGACTAACCGCAGGCTCCCAATGATAATCCTCTAGACATTCCTCACGCCCGCACGTCTCATAACCGTACGTCATTATCCTACTGAACTTACCACTGCGTGAAAAGCAATGCTTGCACAGCGAGTTTTGCGCCCATTCATCACCATGTGTGGATTTAAAAATAGAGATGTCGTGCATCCATTCATCACCTTTGTCATCCTTGTAGACGGACACGCTCGTATCAAATAGGTGCAGGGTCCTTGCGAAGCTTGGGGTTTCTGGCGGCTCCGGGGTTGCAGAAGTGTATTGCCATGCTGAGAGTTTCACGGGGGTTGTCGGCTGCAGTATTATACTAGGCTCTGGACTCTGAATGGCGATGCTGGACTTGATATTTGCGTCATTCGGGAGGTGTTCAATGGGCGTGTTGATCACCGCACCAGCCAATGACCTTCCCGTAAATTTTAGTCCGGGCAACAAAAGTCTGTATTTATCAGGAGAACTTTTGGGGGACGTGGTGAGATGTGGCTCGCTGTTTGAAGTAGTCGCCGACTTCCGTGTTTGCGGCGATGTCAGGGGGCGCATCTTTTTCAAGAGCAGTTCGTCTTCCGTGTCATCAACACTGCGTCCTCTCTTGCGGGCTGCGGTTTTGTTAACAAAAGATTATCAGCGTAATATTGACTCAAAGTATGGAGAAACTGATGTGAGATCCAGCCGCCCCTTGCTCATCCTGGAGTTATCTAGCCTGTTGGATTCAGGTAGGACAGGATAAGTACATACAAGCCTTACTTCTACCCTCAAAATGAGACAATGCGGTGGCTGCGTTAGAGGAGGACGCAGTCAATGCAGAAGTTGGAGCTTCGCTAGAGGATGTATCTGACGACTGGTCAGATCCGCAGGACGTCAGTGGCGAGCTTGATTGGGTATGTTCATCGGGTACTGTTCGCAGTGGGATCTTTAACTTTTGTAGATTGAGTCGCGGCTGTGATGAGGGCAGGACATCCGCGCTCAAGACATATTCGTCACTGGAAGTTGTCTTTTGCTCGATTTTCGGAATGCCACAGGTCTCGTTATGACGGTGGCTCACTGTGTAATAATCTCCAGACGAGGCTACAGTCGATTGGCTTGACTTGAAACTTGCATGCTGAGGCAAGCTCGAACTTGGCGGTATGCCTTCGGCTTTGGTTATGTTCTTCTTCCTCGAACGTGCTTCGTCGGCTGCTCGAAGTTTCTCGCGGGCGTCTCGAGCAGCGGACGCACCACCGACCCAGATCGAAGGCACGCGCTTCTCTACATTTCCAGTGGTGCCCGCTCTATTCACGTCAGTTATTTGGGTAGTGAGGGGTCCTGGGGAGAACAGGATGTTGCTCAGTTATTGTACCTTGAACTGTTTCGCAAAGTCTTGTCATTGCCCGAAGCTGTCAGAGTGCTGACGCCACCAATCTCGTTGAGTAGCTGTTTGAAGAAGGACGGAGGAGATCCCAGGTTGCTAGAAGATTCCGATTTAGGCTGTCGAGGGGTAGTCATGTTGGGTTAGAATGCTCATGAGTGGAAGGCTAAGCAATGCAACACAGCGTAGTTGAGATATGGGTGAGGAAGACGAGGTGAGGGTGGCATGAGGAAAAAGCTTGATGGTATCAGAATGTTGCCCCAAGGAAGGTGTCAGTGTCGCGTAAGGAAAGAGGCAGGAACAATTCACTTTCGGCAGCAGCCACGGCACGAACGAGACTTTCATGTGACTCGGAGAGGAACATGCACGCAAAACAAATCATGACGTGTGAGATTAGCTACGAGATGCCACATAGCTCTCACTGTATGGTATACTACAAGCCTCGTTCTATCATGCAGAGGCCTTTTCATTGCGCCTGTTCATGTCGTGCATTGCTCGTGTTCTTCATGACTCGGACATTTCAGTGTCCTCAGCCTTGGCCAGGCCATGCTCCTTGAGGAGAGCATCGATCTCATCCGCTCCCCAGAGGTGGTGGTAAATCTTTCCAGTCTTGGTCTTTCCTACTGTCGCGAATTCAACTGCGGATTATTAGCATTGTCTTGTGGGGAAGCGGAATCGGAGACGCACTCTTCTCGCTGCTTAGCTTAGTCGAGTCCATTGTCTTGCTCAGCACCTTGACAGCAAGCCCGCATGCCTCCTTCAGACTGCAATCCTCCTTGTAGTCCTGCTTCAACAGACTCTGGGCAGAGGCATTGTTCGCACCCACGCTCGTTGCCTTCCAGCCGCCGTAGTTGCCACTAGGGTTGCTCTGGTACAACTGGAACTGTCGCTGCGGGTCCCAACCGGCGTAGATGAAGGACACACCGAATGGTCGGAGACCACCGTGTTGCGTGTAACCTTGCTTGAGATCGCATAAGCGGCGGACGAGCTGCTCGCAGGGAATGTCTTCGTTGTAGGTGAGGAGATAACGTTGGGCGGCTTGACGGGCGTAGTTGATGAGGATGTTAGCGTCGGCCGTCATTCCTGCAACAGCACAAATCATGTTGCTATAGAATTGTTAGCATAGCAGCCTGTATTTGCCCTCAATTACGCACTCGTTCAGGATGTATAGCTTCTCGGCCGATGTGTCCTGCTCCAACAACTTGCTGGTGACCTTTCGCTCTGCGGCCAGTACAATGCCATCCTGGGCCAAGATGCCTAATGCTGTTCCGGCGTGCGAGATGGCTTCAAGCGCGTATTCGACCTGGTAAAGGCGGCCCTCTGGGGAGAAGATGGTCGTCTATATACACCGTCAGTTGCCATATTGCCGCCCGGAATATCACATTGCGTACTCGGGAATCGTATCTCCGCGACATGATTGCACTCTACACGGATAGTCTGGGGTGTTGAGGTTGTTGTCGCCGACAAGACAAGGGAGGATGGTGGGGAAGTCGGCGTGGGCTGGTTGGTGCTGGTGCTTGTACTCTAAGAGCTCCAGGCACAAGCTCCTACGCAGCGCGTCGGCGATTCAGCTGTGCTTGGCGCCGACCACATTTTGGATCCAAGAGCCGCAACACCAAACCTTGACTATTCCTGATACGTGAGAAGACTCTGGATATTTCCGGGCTCTTCTGACTAGCTACTGTTTCAATATGTCCGACATTCCCGTGCGACCACCTGCACCGCCGCCACCGCTTCCTCCAGGCTGGACAGAACACAAGGCGCCGTCTGGTAGCTAGAGCTCTACCTGCGTCATATGCCTCCACTAACACATCTCAGGACATTCTTACTATTACAACAAGGAAACTAAGAAGTCGACTTACACGCGGCCCGTAGCAGAGACACAATCGCTCTACCAACCAACGCCCACCGTTGCGTCTGCCGCGCCCACTCCCTACGCCGCGGCGCAAAAGTACGACGCTGGATACGACGCGCAGTCTACACAACCAACCACTCAGCCCCAATCATCGCTCAACGACTTCATATTCGCAAGCGCGCCGAAACAGTTCCCCCGGCATGGCGGAGCGCAGCAGTCAAGAGGTGGACATCATGGCGGAATGCGTGGTGGACACAACAACTTCAACGACCGACGAAGAGAACGTGACGACCGGCCCAAGCATCGCCAGGATATCCCCAATTGCGCGCCATGGGTACTTGTGAGGACCAAGTTTGGACGGCGGTTTGTGTGGAACAAGGAGACGAATGAAAGCTTTTGGAAGTTCCCGCCGAATGTCATGTCTGCTGTCATTGAGTTTGACCGCAAGGAGCGCGAGCGCAAAGAACGTCGGGAGCGGGGCGAGCCGAGCGACGTTGAGGATGAGCAAGATGCTGCCATGGCAGAAATTGAAGCGGAACTAGCAGCTGCTGAAGAGGAGGTCGAGATTGTGGAAGTGGATGGTGACGAGGATATGGAGAACGATGAGGAGTATGAAGAGGTTGAGGTTACAGATGACGAGGGCGATTCGGGCAATGCATCAAAGCGACAGCGTACTGAAGAGCCGGCGGGAGACGAGCCACCTGAAATGGGCGAAGACGATCTCGCCTGGCAACTGGCGCAAATGGAAGAAATGGAAATGGAACAGGGCTACGATGATCAGTACGACGACGAGGAACCTGCCTTGTCTGAAGAAGACTGCAAAGCATTGTTCAGAGAGTTGTTGGACGATACAGGCACAAGTCCTTTCACTCCCTGGGACAAGGTCCTCGAGGATGGCGCGCTCTACGACGACGAGCGCTACAAGGCTCTACCCAACATGGCTGCGCGCAAGGAATGCTTCAACGAGTGGTCTCGAGACAAGGCGCAGATCCTCAAGGAAGAAAAAGCCAAGCAAGCCAAACGCGACCCTCGAATACCATACCTAGCCCTCCTCGACCGCCACGCAACCCCCAAACTGTACTGGCCTGAATTCCGCAGAAAATTCAAAAAAGAGCCCGAGATCAAAGACGCCAAACTACCCGACAAGGAAAAGGAGAAGCTCTACCGCGACCACATCAAGCGTCTAGCAATGAGATCGTCCGACCTCAAAGCCGATCTCACAGCCCTCCTCCGCGCACAGCCTCTTGCTTTGCTGAACAAATCAACAACCCTCGACTCCCTCCCTTCCCCCGTCCTCAGCGACCTCCGCTTCATCTCCCTCCCCCCAGCAACACGCGAGCCCTTGATCAAAACCTACATTTCCACGCTACCCCCCGCGCCCGAGGACGCTACCTACTCTGCCGAAGAAGAAGCCTCGCGCGCGAAGAAGATTGCAGAGCGAGAGCGCAGAGAGAAGGCGCTGGCCGATCGCGAGTGTAGAGTTCGAGAGGAGAAGAGGAGACAAGAGCGCGATTTGGCATATGGAAAGGGGAGGCTGAGGGAGGAGGAAGAGGAGATTAGGCGGGCGTTGGAGGTTGGGAAGGGGGGACTGAAGAAGAGGCTAGGTGAGGAGGTAGAGGAGGGGGAGAGGGAATAGGTGGAGGTTGTATATACCCCGTTGCAATTTAGTAATGCACAGCAAGGAGTTGTTCTTGGCATATGATTGCACGACTAGAAACCTCGCATCTGTAACTATTAATACCATCTACAAACATATTCCAAGATAAACATTACCTCCTACTCATCTCTAACCCCATTCTTTTCTTCCCCCCCCCCTTTTTTTTCTTCTCTTCCTTTTCTAAAACTTCCACATTCACCGTTTCACCCTCCCTGCTTCGCTTCCAAGAGAGAAAAAGAACAAAGTCTCAACGGTCCGCTCGGTCCCTGCAGCCGTTCAACCCAACTCCAACGGTTCCGCATACGCGCTGATCACGTGCTTCCTCACTACCACCTACACACACACACACACACACACACCATACGTACACCCCACTGCATATCTCCCATCTAGGTTCGCGATTATGCATATAGCACAATGAACACGGCTAATTCTGTCGTATCCAGTGGGGGGGGGGGGGAGGGTTTACAAGGCAAGCATCAAAGTGCAATCTAGTCTCTCTTTTTTTATCGGACCGGCCGGCCTCGGACTTGGCTTTTACTTGACCTACTTCGTGTACTGCGTACACTTCGTATCTATCCCATGTCTATCTACCCTACATATCTGACTAGATAGATAACTCCCTCCCCCTCCCCCCCGCCGTCTAACCGCCCTTTACAACTATCGCGCTACTAGACTATACTACACCGATTATCCGCGCACATTTGCAGTGATGCTGGAAAAGCCTTTCTCCGGGTGCGAAAGCAAGGGGAGTGGGGGGGAGTAGGTTTTTCCGGGGGATGCCAAGGGGGGATGGGGGATGTCGGATATGCACGTTTGGGTATAGGCGGGTTGGGTTGAGTGGTTTAAGCCGGAAGGGGTGTTAGTATGGGTTGTAAGGGCGATTCAGAAGGCCGAGGTTCGCGAGGATTCCCTTTCCTTCCCATACAACGTAACAAAAGGGAACACAAAGCGTGGAGAAAAGCAAAGATGTAAAGTGGTGTTAATTGTATTATGTGATTATTTGCGATGAGGCAAGGATAGGAAGTTGGGACGAGGAAAATGTGAATGGAGGTAGACAACAAGACGGAGATATCGCACTTGACATACGATCGGATGACGCACCCCGGCCGTTTTCGGCGCGAAGCTAGAGCAAAGGTAGAGTAGGGAAATGTCGAAAGTGGGTTTACTATATACTAGTAGCGACAGGGGTGGTGGGGTGGAGAACGTCATTTCTCGGGCGGTTGCCGCAGTCGAGACTTTGTTGCTTGTGAGTGGGTATTTCGTTTGCGCAAATCGGGCGCGCGGGACGAAGGGAGGGGGTTAGGATGAGTTTGGGATGGGGGGCGCGTTTGGCAGCGGTGTCTTGGATTGATTTTCCCCACTTCCTTTCTTGTCCTTCTTCTTCTCGCTCTCTTTGTGATGATTGAGGTATCGACGCGAAGGATTCTGGCTGGGTAAAAGAAGCGACAAATCGATTGAAGCGAGTTTTATCCGGGGAGTTTGACGTCGTTTTCTCCTCCATCAAAAAGGGAAAATTCCAGCGAGTGGCGAGGTTAGTGGCTGTTGGTCAGATAGAAGCCCTTTTGGGCGCGTAAAAGAAAAGAGAAGATATTAGAGCGATTCCAACGGGGGACGGTGAAGAAAAAAGATGGATCTAGCTAGGCACCCAACGGCCAATTCCGCACACCAAGGCCATGAAGATCGCAGTTCGAGTTCCTTTGAAAAAAGAGATGGATACGCTGGCGACACGAATGAAAGTATGGAGGGAGTAGAGAAAGAAGATCAGGAAATAGCGGATAGAGCCCGCGCGCAGAGCAGACGGTCTCAAGATGGCCGTAGCTTGAAAACGATTCAATCGCATCACTCGCGAGCTGGCGGCGACGGCTACACGTGTTTTGACCCCGAAGCAACAAGTGCGCCAGGACCTCCAGCAAAGACGACGACGACAGGAGCAAAATCTGGTGCTGTGACTGAACAGCCGTATTTGGTGTCGTGGGATGGCGATGCTGATCCAGAGAATCCACGTAGTATGGGGAAACTGCGGCGCTGGGCAATCGTGGTTATATGCTCTGCAAGTTCGCTTTGCGTGTAAGCCTTTTTTTGTTGGAATCGAAAAAAAGATATGTCTCTGTGGATACATGAGAGACATATATACGAGGAAATTTGGGGATAAAGAGCTGACGATTTTTTTGGGGCAGGACATGCACTTCATCGCTCTACACATCGACATACAGACAGCTAAAACCGGAATTCGGGGCTTCGCGCTTGGTATCCACGCTTGGGCTGTCCTTGTTTGTTGCGGGACTGGGTACTGGGCCGATGATTCTGAGTCCCCTTTCTGAGGTGCGTTGCCTCAATTGCAAGAGTGCAGGATCTCTTGACTAATTCAAGAACACAGTTTTTCGGGAGAAGACCCATTTACATTTGCTCCTTCTCGTTCTTCCTCATCTGGATGATTCCATGTGCGGTGGCTCAAAATATCCAGACGATGCTCGTAGCCCGGTTCCTAGACGGCCTCGCTGGCTCCGCATTTCTCAGTGTGGCGGGAGGAACGGTGGGCGACATGTTTGCGAAACACGTTAGTTTGACCCATTCCTGCACCTGTACTCAAATCCGGTCCATTTCTGGCTTTGTTTTCTAACGCGCGTGTGCGATACACAGGAACTATCGGCACCGATGATGCTATACACTGCCAGCCCATTTGTGGGTCCGGAAATAGGACCTCTGGTTGGGGGCTTCATTGTTGAGAATACTACTTGGAGATGGTAAGTTGCTTATTGATTTGGGCCCACCAAAAGCCTTCCCCCCACTCTTGTGACACAGTGCCTGCTTTGCACATTGGCATGGGAGATTGGGTTGTACTGCCGATATGATGCTGTTCCTAGTAACTTGGACCTCGTATTCATGACGACGTACCTTTTATTTTGTATTGGGACTTGCCACGTAGCAAGGAGCGGTGTGTTGACTAGAAGGAAAACAGGTGTTTCTACTTGCTCATCATTTGGTCGGGCCTCCAGGTAAGACCTGCCCATTGCCACACTCGTATGCACGGAGACAGGCTAATGCTGGTATTTATTAGCTTTGCCTCATTATCTTATTCGTACCTGAGACGTATCATCCCGTTCTTCTCCGCCGCAAGGCCATACGGCTACGTAAGGAAACTGGCAATCCGGAATGGATAGCGCCGATTGAGAAGATGGACCGATCCATTGCCAAAACCGTCATGTGGTCGTGCATCAGGCCGTTTCAACTTTTGTTTTTTGAGCCCATGGTACGTGTTGTTGGTCATTCGACAGGCGGGTGATTGGTGGAACTGACTTTGTGGACTCGACAGTGCCTGAACCTGTGTATCCTGTCGGCCATTCTGCTGGGTATCCTGTACCTGTTTTTTGGCGCCTTTCCGCTCGTATTTGGAAACAATCACGGGTTCAGCCTCTCACAGACTGGGATTGCGTTTTTGGGCTTGCTAGTGGGCATGGTGGCTGGTGTTTCGTCTGACCCCATCTGGAGGAGGGTATACGGTAGGCTTGTGCGACAGCGTGAAGAGCAAGGAGGACAGCCCGGCGGCTCCGAACCGGAGTTTCGGCTCCCGTCGACGATTGTAGGCGCCTGGGTGGTTCCTATTGCACTGTTTGGTAGGCTTCCCGTGACCGTTCGGCATTGTTGACTAGGCTTCTAACCGTGCTTATGCAGGGTTTGGGTGGACGACGTACTCATCGGTAAGTCCGTTATTTTTGCTGCAGAGGTGAAAGCGCTCAAGGCTAACGTGCTGATCTCCGCAGGTTCACTGGATAGGTACGGCAGCAAATCGCATGTGCTTTTGAGAGGCAATACTGATTGACCATGACACTGCAGTTCCAATAATGTTTTCGGGAATATTCGGTCTTGGGTATGCTTGTTCCTTTTTTTGTTATTTGTCCTTGAGAGCTACCCACGGTCATATCGTCAGGAGGAAAACAAAGGAGATTTGCTAATAACATGGTGTGACGTAGGGTTATTTGGGTTTACTCCGGGGTGTTTACGTTTCTGGTTGAAGCAGTGAGTTGTCTAGGCAGGCACCGACATCGGGGCCTGGGAGGTGGGTACAGAGTGTTGACGTCGGCGAACAGTACCCTGTATATGCTGCATCAGCTCTTGCTGCCAACAGCTTTGCGCGGTCGTACTTTGCTGCAGCCTTCCCGTAAGCCAGGCCAACCGTTGTAGGCCGATCAGATGACTAACTCATGGCATAGACTATTTGGTGTTCAGATGTACAACAGTAAGTGGACGAGAGGGAGCACCATTTTGCAAAAGAGCGGTCACTAATGTGGTCAAGATCTCGGTTACCAGTGGGCAACGACTGTGCTCGCGTTCCTGGCTCTAGCAATGGCACCGTAAGGAAGCAGTACCCAAGGCAATGGTCATGGGAGGCACTAATGTGTATGACGCAGGTTTCCCATCTTATTTTTTCGATACGGTAAGCGGCTTCGCGAGGGCAGTCGGTATGCGTCAGGATAGCTGTCAGAGGGTGGGTATGGGTGTTTATGCGAGGGCATGTGGCAGCAATGAGTGGGAGAGCAAGACCAAGAATAGAGACGAGTGACACAGCATTTGCAGGCCATGATATTTTGTTTTGATTGAGCCAGGGATATTGCGCCCATGCGTGAGACGACATGAAGCACTCTGGCTGGGCCTTTGTACGACGGAACATGGAGCGCCACGAGGGTGGCCAGGCCAGCTCGAGGGACAGAGGCGACGGGAGCGACACGAGGGGTGGGAGGTGGCTGCGGATAGAAACGCCACCGGGGGTAGTTTGGATGGTAAGCAGCGAGCGGGATGGTAGTAGTGGGTGTGGTTGTGGTGATGATGGTGATGGTGATGATGATGATGAGTATGTTGATGATGGTCATCAGTCGTACCAGGGTGTGTGGAGCGAGTAATGGCTGGCGCTAAGACCTCGCAAAAGACCATGGGCCCCCACCGCATGCACGCCCTGTAGCCGAGCGCGCGAGACTTGGGAACCGGGCGGCTGGCCGCTTATTGGGCATGGGGGGCTGTGTGGCATGACCTGTCGCTGTGGGAATTGGACGGACAGACAGGGCAAGATTTTCCCGCAGACAGCAGCGAGGGAAAGTGAGGCTATAGATGTATGGGTGGATATGTGAAGGTGATGGCAGCGTCAAGACAGGACATGGGTAGGGCATAGTAGTAGTTTGCATGGTAGTAAGTAGCTAAGTAGTATGGCAGAGGCATGCATGTGCATTAGCAGCAGGCAGTAGTCGAGTGGTAGTCGATGGCCGGCAATGCGAGGGCGGGCTCCATCTACCCGTGACGTCTGCGAGGCATGTCGCTGGGCCGGCTAGTGCGAGGCCAAGCACGCGGCTTACCGGCCGACAGGGACCGAGGCAGGTGCGAGTCTCTCTCGGTGTGCGTGTGTGTGCGTGCGTGGGCTCTTGCGCCTTCCAGCAAACCTCGACAGCCAATTGCGGGGAAGCGCATTTGCGCGCATCTCCAGCACCTCCCACGAGAGACGACTCCAACATACCACCGCACACGACACCCCCCCGGCCCATACGCTTCACCTTCCCTCCTGTCATCCAGTGAATAGCCCCACAACTGCCCTATCTCTCGCAAGAGAAAAAAACCCCATCAGTCGCTGCTCCCAACCTCACAGCCTCCCAGCCAGCCAGCCAGCTCCGCCTGTAAGCTGGGTCCGACCATCGCTCTCGCTTGCCCGCGTGCTCGTTCGCTCCTGCCTCCTGCGCCGACCGTCACTTCCCTCGCCCCGTACCACAACGTCGCTCTACCGTGTCGCGCCTTCCCTGCTCGTCACTCGAAGCGAGGACGCCTCAGCGCCACTGTCACCTGGCTGCCCTCGCCTCTTGCCTGCCCTCCTCTTGCCCTCCCACCCCGGCGCATCTCGTAGAACCACACTCGACTAGTCCCAGCAGCATGGGCAGCGCGTCTCGGTAGCATCTTGCTATCAAACATGGTTCTGTGTCTGACTGGAATGCTCCCTCGATTACGTCCATCCCGGCTTCGTACCACGCCCGCTCTGTTCCATACCTGTCCCCCGGATTGACCATTGCCTCTGTCCATTGGGGTCCCCTGCATTTGCTCGTCATTGGAGCCCCTACAGTGTCACAGCAGCCCCCATCCACCCTGTCCAGCCCACGCGTGATCGCTCTCTCAAACACGCAGCTCGAACGCCTCGTCCCGTGCGCCCCAAGAAACATTGGCTGACCCGTTTTGCTGGGAACATCCCAAAAAGTCCAACCTACGGCTGCACGCAGTCCACGACAGCAGTCTGTGCTTGGCCCCCCACCACCGTCTGCTGTGCTGAGCAGAAGGGGGGGAATATTATGACTGCCTCAGACGCCGAAGATGCCTCTCCCTCGCCCGAGTACCGGAGCGATTTGGACGACGACATGGCTGCTGAACAGAATGCTGACCGCCAGTCTGGCGGCACCTCGCCTGTCCAGAAGCCCGCAAACAACAAGTCCAATGCCAAAGATCCGCTGAGACCCCGGCGCAAGAAGGCGCGGAGGGCGTGTTTTGCCTGTCAGCGAGCACATCTCACATGCGGCAAGTACCACTCACCTGGCCTGTCAACACAATCTTTCTAACAACATCAACAGGCGACGAGAGACCCTGCAATCGCTGTATCAAGCGTGGCCTCCAAGATCACTGCATGGATGGTGTCCGCAAAAAGGCAAAGTATCTCCATGATGCACCAGACGGTGCTCTCATGCCCGGAGTAGGCGGCCATTACCCATATATGAATGGAAATCGTCCTACTCCCATTCCTACCCAGGACACTCAGACGGTCGCCGTCTCACCCCCAGCCAACATGTACCCTCAGGGCCAACGAGGCACTTTCTATCCATCCAATTCAATACCACCCCAACTACCCGTCACACAAGACGCACGAGGCTTCAGCAACCAGCAGTCGCCAATATCTCCCTCTTTTAACCAGACGACGGCACAGAGTGATCCGAGCACAATACCTCAAGCTCAACCAGACCAGCTGCAGCAGTTTGGGCCCTTGTTCGATCCAAGCGATCCAGCCCTGTTCAACTTTGACATTTCGAGCCTCAACTTTGGGAACCACTATGGCGCGCTAGAGTTTGGCATGCTCGGCCACATGTCGTCAGGCGCGGTAGAAACCCCACATGACAATGGCATGATGAACGCCATCAACGGTCCTGTCAACATGTACAACCAACCCTTATCCTCCGGTTACGGAGATCGAAATAATTCTGGCGTAATGGCATTCGGCCCGAATGGCCTACCATCGGGCGAATGGCAGGAATCGCATTCGCGACAGGGTAGCATGCACGCTCAGACAAATGCTTCTATTGGCTCGAATCATGACCATAGTCATCGGAGCGACAGCCTCAATGGACCTCACGCATTCGCCATTGGACAAGGACCTGGCACTCACTCATCCGCAAGCCCGGCGTCCACGGATGCATCTACCTTTGAAGGTGACAATCCACTGGCGGCTGCAGCCTTCTTTGCCAATCCGCATCGGCCGCATGCACAACGTTCGCCTTTGGTAAACCGATCGCAGCAGGAAAACAAGCATCCAAATTCCGCACTACATTCATTACATGCCAATGGCATCCGCAAACGCCAGCGAGATACCAAAAGCATCTATCAGGGCATCACCAAGCCCTATGACTATGTCAAGGGCTATCATAGGCTCTACCAGTTGATTGACAAGAAATACTCTCGGCAATGGGTTGCCAAAGCCCAGCAATACTTGCAGAATTATCGGCCGGTGCTACTCCAAGTCCGGGAGGAGCTGAACAGAGATGATTTGATTCACCAAGAAATGGGTCTTCAGCGCCATCTTATGACACTCCAAGAACACTTTGCAGAAGTCGGCACACCGTTCTTAATCTGCAGGCGCTCGGGTGAGATTGTCGGCATCAACAAGGAATTCACCATACTCACCGGCTGGAAGCGCGAAGTCCTCCTCGGTCAAGAACCAAACCTCAACGTCAACACTGGCATCAACCGCGACTCAAACGAAAGCGACACGTCGACGCAAAACACGACACCCAACCTTGCAGCCCAAGACAGCGAGACCGCTACGCCCAGTGTCAACATCATCGAGCTCATGGACGCACGATCAGCCCTCGAGTTCCTGCAACACTTTTCCGAGCTCTGCTACCAGGACCCTCGCGGCTATGCCTCCCAGCGCGTCAATATGCTGCGGTACCAGACCAAGGCAGACGTAGACCGCCTACAGGAAATGAAGAGTGTGAATGCGGGTGGTGACGCAAAACATGATCCACTAGTTAAAATGGAAGGCGGCGCCGTGCATCAGGGCGAGAGTGCCATGCAGCGACTTGGAGCCAAGAATGGCATGGTGGACTGCATGATTTGGTGGCATATCAAGCGCGATATTTTTGATATGCCTGTGCTTGTTTGTATGAGTGTAAGTTTTCTTCTCTCCTTTCAGGGCCATGATGAGTGATGAGGTGCTAATATTGGGGTTGTAGGTTATGCCTGTGCTAGATAAAGGTCTGCAATAAGCCGAGACAGAAAGGTTTGATGATTTCTTTTATCTTCTTCTTCATCTTCGTCCTCCTATTTGGTGTTGACGATCGAGGCGGCTGTAACAAAAGTGTCTTCATGTTCTTGTCTTTTTTCTTCTTCATCTTTTTTCACCGTGGCTTTTGCATTCACGACGTGCACAACATACAAAGGGGAGAGGGACGTGATGGTCTTTTGTTTTGAGGGTCGCTCTTCGAAAAAAGACAATTTTAGTCTAATAGTTCCTTGTACCCTTTACGGGAACGGGCGTCTTCTGAGCATTTTATTTTTTTTATCCAGCAAAGCCATCTGCTGCGAGAGAGGTTGAATTATTGTCGCCTTATGGGCGCAGTGTTTCTATACGTTGGGATATCTTTCTTTGCTAACGGTCAGACCGTGTATGCATGAATTGTTATCATGATCGAATTCGTGTTAGACTCGATACTTACTCTCAAGGGAGAGTGGGGGATATCGCCGTGCAAGTTAGTCTAAGACATACGAAGTAAAAATACAACAACATGTCCTTGCTCCTTCTTACCTTCCCAAGCACCAAAAAAAATTGCTCATTAAACACCGCCCACCATCAATTAATCATCTCACTCTTCACAACCCCATCCTTCTGCCCCGCCTGCTCCCCCCTCGCATCCCCATTCCCCATAACCTCCCCTCCCTCCCCTCTTCCCTTCAACCACTCATCCCCCTTCCACTCCAAATACTTTTCCCTTTCCAAACCCCTCTTCGCCACACGAATATCCTCCTTGATATCCTCCACCAGCGCCTCCAAACTCACATAATCATATTCGGGCCGTATGAAACCCAGAATAACCAAACTCAGCGTCGCGCCATAAAAATCGCGCTCGAAGTTATTCAAAATGTGGATTTCGATGCTGCGTTTCGAGTTTTTGTAGTACGGGTTGTAGCCGATGGAGAGGACGGTGGGGTAGATTGTTTGCGGTGAGGGGGCGGGGGAGGTGGGGTAGTTTAGGTCGAGGACGGCGTGGTTGGAGGATGTGGAGGGGGGTGCGGAGGATGTTGAGTCTGAGGGTGTTGTGGTGTTGGAGGGTGGGGAAGAAGAAGAAGGGATGGTGGAGGGGTCGAGTGTGCACCAGCCGTAGTAGATGCCTGAGTCGAGGTCTTCGTTGCCGCCGATTGAGAGGCCGGAGAGGGGGATGTTGGCGGTGGGGATGCCGAGCTGAATTGAAGTTAGTCTTTTGGATGTGAAGATGCTTTGGAGAGGGTTGTTGGTACTTCTTTACTGCCGCGTCCGAAGCCTTTGATTACGGGGCCCCGGAGTTTGAGGGGGAAGGGTGGTTGGGGGGTGTCGGGGCCGGCGATGGGGTCGCGGGGGCCGTCGGGACGTCCCATTGTGAATGTCTAGGCGAGTCTTTGTTTTTGAAAAATAGGGATGTGTATTGCAGGTGTTGTATATAGGAAAAGGTTGTTCGTTCTGAGAATAGGTGATGTTAGTTAGCTTGGCTTCCAGTACTTTCTGGTCGGGATGGCAAAGGGTCCGATCGGAATGCATGGTGGGGCACAATGTGGAATGGTAAGCGTCATTGCTGCTGCTTAGTCAATGCAAGGTACCAGATCATCGCTGCTACCCCAACTAAATGCGGCCATGCTTCCGCCAAAAGCATTTTGGTCGGTATGGCGTTGTAACAGAATGATTGCAACATCTCCTCGTATCGCTGTCCTGCCATTTGCATCCTATTTGAGACTGTATATTCCATCTCGTACAATGACTTCTATATCGACAACCAAACAGATCTCCCGCTTGCACGATGATAAACCGGCATTTATATATGGCACTGCCTGGAAGAAAGATCAAACGAAGAGACTGGTGAAGGAGGCGCTGGCTGTTGGGTTCCGGCGCGTCGACACAGCTGCACAACCACGCCATTATCAAGAGGCCTTGGTCGGAGAAGCGCTTCGCGAAGCATTCACCGAAGGTATCTTGAAGCGAGAAGAGCTCTATGTACGTACACCTAAATTCCTGATCATCTGATACTAATGTCATGTAGTTACAAACAAAATATACTACCCCTGCGGGACAAGACCTAAACAACATGCCCTATGACCCCAACGCACCCTTAGACTCTCAAATCCACACTTCCGTTGCATCGTCGCTCAAGAACCTGCGCCATATATCTGAATCGCCAGACGACTCCTACCTCGACTGCATGCTTCTGCACTCACCACTACCAACAACCGAGCAGACAATCCAAGCCTGGAAGCTACTGGAGACATACGTCCCCCATCGCATTCGCTCCCTTGGCATCTCAAACGTAACCCTGTCTGTACTCGAAGCCCTCTATCAAAACGCTACTGTCAAACCTACAGTTGTGCAGAATCGCTTTTACCCCCAGACGCGCTACGACGTGCCTTTACGCAATTTTTGCAAAGAACACGATATCGTGTATCAGTCTTTCTGGACGCTGACGGGTAACCCGGCGCTTTTGCAGTCACAACCTGTTGCGGCGCTGGCACGAGCGGCACAGGTTGAGATACCGGTTGCACTGTATGCACTAGTTATGGATCAGGGTGTTGTGGTGTTGAATGGGAGTACGTCGAGGGAGCATATGGAGATGGATTTAGAGGGGATTCAGAAGGTTCGTGATTGGGCTGTGGAGAAGCCACAGGAGTTTGCTGCTATTGCTGGGGATTTTAAGGCTATAGTGGAGTGAGTGTTTGTCTGTGCTGGTTGTGCAGTGATATTACCTACGGACGAAAAGATACCCGCTTCCGCATCGATTCGGTACCATTCATTGGGCACTTCCTAGCTCGTTAGGTACCGGGAATGTATATTATACGCTATTTTTCTTGCAATAACAATGATCTGGCGAGTTTGAAAGTGTGGTAAATCTTGTCTGACGTCTGCTGGCATAGCCTTCGTACCAGTTGGACATGGACAAGAACAAGTCTGTTACCCAAGGCTTCCGACAATCTGGCAGCCGCCATATGATGCTTAGATCCCAGTTACCACTAGCCTCTCGTTACAGATCATTGTAGGAAACCATCAGTGTGTGGTCTCTCACTGTCGATGCTACCTGGGGCTAGCTACTCCATCACCCGCTAAAGACTGGACGCTTACCCATTTAAGATATCAGCACGCAGTGAAAGCCACCGACCTCCATCTCTTACCTCTGACGCTGAACTGGCCTAGTGCCAAAATTCTCACGTTGGCGACTCGGACCTCTTCTGCGCTACAAACCTCCCACGCATAACCGTCTATCAGAGTCTATAGCATTTCAGTGAGCTCTGATCAACAGATACTGGTGTATCTTGCGTTCAGAAAAATATGGCCGGCAGCCCAGATCGTTCGTACTCGCCAGAGTACCTCGAGCGACTGTCAAGTCCTGATTACCTTGCTGGTGATGAGTCCTCGTCAGATTCGCAGAGTGTTCCTGAGGCAGATCGCCTCCCAGACGCTGCTGCACCTCTGAGCGCCGACGAGGACCGAATGGATTCGAATTACCCAGTGCCCAGTCAGGAACGCAGTCCTAGCGGCAGTGACAGCAATGAGGAACACCCGCCCTTGAAGCGGTTCAAAGAAGGGCCAGCCTTGGATTACGAATCCTCTGATGATCACATCCCACACAACCGCCCGGCCGCCAGTCTCATCGACAGCGATGGCAATGAGGAGCCTCCGTCCTCGAAACAGTCGACCAAAGACCAAACGAGGTACTACAACTCGTCTGACAACTACCCTCCACCCAGACGCCCACCCCCCAGCTCCACCGCCAACCCTCCCCCAAAGAAGGCTACTCAAGACAAGAAGAAACCCAATCAACCCCCTCCCCCCTCCAACCCCCCCAAGAAAAACGACCCCAGCACCAAAGTCTCCCTAATCCACCAAATCCAGTCCCACTGGGGCCCCAACTTCATAAAAACCTACATCCCAAAATGCCACCGCCCCCTCATCAAACTCCCCACCTCCACCACAAAACGCAAACGCCCCCACCCCTTACTCCGCAAACACGAGTCCAACCCCCACAACTGGACCCCTTCCTCTCTAGCCTCCATCCTGCGCATCGCAAAACTCACTTCGGACAAAGCGTGGTTGCACCAAGCAACGCGAGATGTAGTGCGGTATAGGATTCGGCATACAGGGAACCGCAAGCCGCAGCTGGGACGCGCGGATTTCGACGTTATCGAGGATATGCTGGGGAAGGGGTGGGGAGTTGAATATGCGTTTGGGGTTCGGTATAAGCATTTGGTTAAGGAGGAGGGGGAGGGGGAAGGGGAGGACGAAGAGGATGTAGAGTATCTGTTTGATGTTGGGCCCGAGAGTAGTGAGGTGGATGTGGGGTCTGAGGGGGAGGATATGAAGCTAAGGAGGCGGCAACGATGCGGTGACACTGATGGTGGTGGGAAGGCGAAGAAGCGGAAGGAGAGGGGGGATGAGGTATGTGCACCGTCTTCGTCTTCGGAGGAGGAGGAGGAGGAGGAGGAGGAGGAGGAGGAGAGGATTAATCCGTATCAACATGCCTGGTGCAAATCGCAGTATGGCATGTTTCCGCCACTGCCACACGCTTCTTCGTCTTCGGCGCAGGTTACGCAGAGGCCTGCGAAGTCTGCGTCGAATGGTACGAAGAAAATGAAACAGAAAAGCGCACAGCGTGGTAAGGATGTACGGAATAGTCCTGAGGAATCGCTGTTTGTACCGGAGGAGAGGGAGAGGGAGAGAGATGAAAATGGGGAGTTTGAAGAGGAGGGAGAAGATGGAGAAGAGGAGGAAGAAGAAGAAGAAGAAGAGGAGGAGGAGGAGGAGGAGGAGAGAGACTACGAAGCAGAAATCGCAGCAGCAGAGGCGGAACTCAAACTTGCGCGGTTAAAGGTTGCGGCGGCGAAGGCGAAGAAGTTGAACAGGAAGAAGTGATATCTTCATTGACCGTGCTTTGGGTTATTTGGTTTGCATTATAGGGTTGGAGATGGGAGTTTTGTGGGCTAGGTTTAGGATACTGGAAACTAAGGGGGTTTTACTGTATTCATTTCCTTTTGATACCCAGTATTAGGGCAAAAGAGATCTGTAAGTCTCTTTGCAACAAGTGTACACAAGCATAAAAATAGATAGAGAAGAAAATAGGAAAGACGGCACACGGCAAAAGAAGCCAAACTTCATACCTAGAAAAATGTTCATTTTTATGGAATCCGTCTATAAAACCTATGCGATCAATCCACTCTAATAGACCTCAAGCACATATCTCCCCTCATCCTTCAGCTTCTCAATCTCCTTTCTGCTATCAATCTTCTTGGCTGCGGGGTTCTTGACCTTATGCTCCACCTCGAGCGCCTCCTGCAGCACCTCAGTGACATCGGGAACAGGCCAGGTAGGACCGCAGAGGTAAAAGCTACCCTCCTTTTCGAGATAGCTGCGTCGAATGTCCTTGAGAGACTCGCGCATACGGTCTTGAATGTAGATCTTCTGGGGTTGATCACGCGAAAAGGCGCGGCCAATAAGAGTGATGATGCCGGCGTCTTGGTAGGCCTCCCATTCCTCGCCGTAAAGGTACTCTTCGCGTTGGTGGCGCGAGCCCATGTAGAGTAGGACTTCGCCGATTTCGTGGCCTTGCTGCTTTTGGTAGGCGCGCTCTTGGACGAAGGCACGGAAGGGAGCGAGACCGGTACCCAGACCGGCCATGATGATGGGGGCGGTCGTCTTGGTGGGGAGCTTCATGACGGAAGGCTTTACAGAAACGGTGACGGGAGAGCCGACCTTGAGGCTGTTGAGGTAACGGGTGGCTTGACCAAAGCGGTCGCGGCCCTTGGGGTCGGTCCAGTTTACCGTCACGATGAGCAGGGAGACGGAGTTGGGGGTCACGTGTTGCGCGGAAGCAATGGAGTACTCACGGCGCTTCATGGGACTGACAATGCGGACAATCTCGTGGAAGCTGGGGTGTGCAGACGGGAACTCGAGCAGGATATCAGCATAGGTGACGGTGTCAACCTCAGCGCGGCGCTTGAACTCGGTAGCACCCTCTGGACTGATGATCTGAAGGAGTTCCCGTTTCTCAGCCTCGTCGCTGGCAAACTCGGCAAGTGATTCGTAGAAGCGCTTCGGTGGACGACCGAAGATGTCGACATTCTGCAGAAGAGATTGGTAGACAGTGCGGTTGACCAATACGTTGGGATCCTCACGAGATGGAACCTCGACAATCTCGTTGGGGTTGAGGCCGTACCACTTGATGAACTCGTCGACTTGAGCCTCGTCGTTCTCCGCATGGATACCGAGGGCCTCACCGATGGCGTAAGTGACACCAGAGTCTCCGAGATCAAACTCGATGTGGAAAATGTTACGATCATAGTTCTGGGGTGTAAGGCGACGACGTTCCTTGACATGGACAATGCTTGTCTTGATACCAAGG